CTTCGTTTTTCGTCAAATGTCACACGCAAAATGGACAAATTTTTATTAAATAAACAAGTCAGTAGTTCAAATGATAGTGATAAAGCATCTACTAGTGGAGGCGGGAAAGCAAAAAAAATTAATGAAGGCGCCGATCAAGATTGCTTAACGCAATTATATAAATATGCAGAGTCTAAAGCCCTAGTTGTCTCACAAGATCTGATGGCCCTTTTCACGGAACACCTGTCCAAGCTCACTGAATGGTTTTCGAAGTTTTTGATGTTGAAAAATTTGCGTGGATCCAAGATCCTTTCTATGCATAAGCTCCACCAGAAATCACATCACACGATGAACTCTCTTGTGACAGCAGCCTTAAAGCTAGATTCACCAGTTCCGATTTGGTGGAGTTTTGGTTATCGATTCAAAATGAATATCCACATTTATCTTCAAAAGCTTTAAGAATTTTCATTCCGTTTGCAACATCATATTTATGTGAAGTAGGATTTTCAGCTGTAGCAGCAATCAGGATCAATGTGGAGCAAGAAATGAGAATAGCAGTGTCAATGTTATTCCCGGCTTTGAAAAAATATGCGGAGATCACCAAGCTCACCCGTCACATTGACTTGACTGAGTAATTATCGTATTTTATTTTTGTTTTTCTTAAGTCTTTCTTGCTGTTACTATTCTTTTATAATAAAAAAACTCAATTACATATTGTAGATGTTTTGATTTTTGTAACTATTTACCTAACCTAACTACTATTACTGTAGGCACCTAGGTACATACTATTGGTAACCCCTGGGTTAAGATGTCTTAAATCGCATGTTATATTTATCGCTAAATTTTTCAAAGAAACTTCTGTAATACTTTTAACAAAACTTCTGGATTCCTCCTGCGTCGATTTTTGCCGAGTCGAACTTGCTGACGTTTCACCAATCATCCTGTATGTAAGCTTCTTCCGAGCTTGACTGAAACTGGCTCGCATTTTGCTCTGTACATTTATTTATTTATTTTGATTCGAGATGTCAGTTGGTGTTGATTGATTGGGCTTTGGCACGGGCTCGTCGACGCCAGACGCCATTTTAGATGGCGACGTCGTATTTTCCGGAAAAATCGTCGCCGGAAACGACGGGAAAACGAAATAACACGCGATAAAACGCGGAAAAAAATGAAATACAGTCGTAAGAGTCGTCTCGGTCGTCTGATTTGGCCATCTGCCAAGTCCAGACGTACCGAGAGTTTCGATTGAAAAATAGGGGCACAACCGTTTTCGGAGCAACGTTGTCAAAATTGTAAAGCCGGTTTTCCACGACACGGACAGTCAAGTCTGTTTTTTGAAACTTAAAATAAAACTGCAGTAAACCCAAAACTCTTGTTTAGGCTTTATTCGAGTTCTGTTTTTCTTTTGACCAATTTTTATAATTGGTATTCCTTTGGAGAGCGTCTAAAAAAGCACTAACTTCCTGAGTACTCCACTGCTTTCTCAGCAGCTTACTGTCAGACTCTCAAATACCAACCTATTTATAATAGATATACTGGAATGAAAAAATAGGTTATCTACTTTAATAACTGCAAATAATTTTATTAAAAAACGAATTAAATTGGTTTAGTAACAAGTTATATCGTTGTCTTCTCTCTTTTTAAATTATTTCCGAGGTTTAAGGTACCTAAATGCAATTTAGACTACAAAACCTTTAATAATTAAATTAATTAAAATAACTACAAAAGTATAAAACTATAGGTGCAATTCGTTTTTTATTTTTAAAAAAATCTTAATTGTTCTTATGTTTTCGAGGCAGTAATTAAGTTAATTATAGGGGTAAAAGATTTAAAACTTACACTTTGAAGTTCTGATGCTAATCCTAGTGGAATAGGCCTCATATTTCTATATTTTCCATACGATCGAAGGATTTATAAAATCACAATCTAATAATCTGTGTTGAACTTCTTGATAATCGCAGATTTTTTCGCCAAGAACGAATTGTTTACATTTGTTGAGCAAACGTTCAGTTAAAGCGTAACCACTTTCTCCTTCATATTTCTATGCAATCAATGATCGTTTGTCTCTAAAGGTACTGACAGAATCACAGACAGACAGAATTGTATTTTTATCGACGTGAAACGACTGAATTAACTCTTTGAGAATATTGCTTTTAGGGGTATTGGTATTGGTATTGGTATTAAAGGGGGGCGCCCTCGCGGGCGTCCAAGCACTTAGGCCACCAGATGGGTCCGTTGTGCCCCCAGTCCGCTCTAGAGGACGTCCAGAATGCCGTCCCTCCTATAGAAGGTCAGCAACTCCTTTAGCCCAATACCGTGCCCTGAGTCCGGATCGATCAGGGCCGTTCCGAAGACTCCCAATCTTGCCCATGAAAATTTTCTTATTACGTAATCGGCATGAGGTCGTAGCGTTAGTTCTGAGTCTAACATGACTGAATTTTATCAACGTCTACTAGCATCTCATTATTTGTTTCAATTTTTATGTTTTCTATATTAACAGTACTCAATTTTTGTTTTTTGCTAAAAATACAAAATTTAGATTTTGACGCTTTAATATTAAGTTTGTGTTTACATAACCATTCATATATTCGGTTCAAATCGCTGTTAATACTACGTTTCACCTGATCTATGTCACTACCAGCTATATATAACATTAATAATACTTTATAATAATAATGCTTCCGTATTTGTAATATCTAAAAGACAGTTGCCTATTATACTGAAGACATCTCTGAGTACCACAGTCGAGATTCCACTCGTCCCATCACCCACATTTTTCATACTATTTTTTTACATTGGAGAGTGACAAAGTGTCAAATTTAGAAAACTCTATATAGGTACGAATGGCTGCTATATCCTGCTATATCCTGTTCCAACTAAAATTAGACAATATAGTACGATAACAAACAAAAATAAGTTTAAGTTACTATTCATTTTTGTTTTAACTAATTGGAAAGTATATTTTAAACTAATTAATAATTTTTAATTTAATTTAATTAGTAATAAATAAAATGCTGAACGTAAAATGGCTTTCAGAAAGGTAAACTGGCCGTATTGTTTTTCTTGAATAGGTAATTTAATAAATGACGATAAAGCATTTTCAATTCAAAAATAAGTGAAAACCCACGAAAAATGTTAAGCTGATAACCGTCAGCACCAAAAGGTACCTCGTGACGTCACCAACAACGGTTAAAGATAGCACTCCGTAATTTGTTAATAAGATTCCGCACATTAAAGCTCAAAATAGTGTCACGACTGAGTACGCAGATTTTTTTTAGTATGATATTTGAAACGTTAATGTTATTTGATAGGTACTTCAGTAGAATTTATTACCGCCATTCCGCCGTCGGAAGGAAAAAAAGTCTCGACGCACATAATCCTATCTGAATTTCAATGAATAATAATGTTCAGAAATTTGCATCGCTAAGTAGCGACGACGACACAAACAAATGTCTTCGCATAAGCTTGGCTTATTAGTCGTTTCGATGTAGTCGAGATCACTGTACGGAAAGATCTAAAGGATTATTCCCCGTATGATTCCGATTTGGCACCTGTCTCCATTTTTTCATTCACCAATTTGAAAAACACACCCGCAGCTTTTAGACATTTAAAGAATCAGTTTATACGTTTGCGAGCAATGGAGGTTTTATACTTTGCCAAAATTGTTTAAATCGAATCTCAATTTTTCGACGTGTTTGATTTTTTGGGGGTACTTTGTGAAATGGTTACAATCTTTTTTCTGCTTTCAACTAATCACTCATGAAACTCAAGATCGCGGTACGGTTCCGGGACCGAAAAAAGAATGTTGTCTCGAAAACGGTACTTCCGATCAAAAAAATTGTTCAACCCGATTTTGGGCAATAACAAAAAAATACGGTTGACCCAAAAGTATACAGGGTGTCCCGGTTATGAGCAAATAACTGAAAATTGTGATTTATCGAAGTAAATTATTGGCCATAACTGAGAAACCGTAGCAAGAGTTGCCGTTTGATTTGAGCCGTTTTTTAGGTCGCCTCGAGGGCTACAATTTTGCATTCACCCTTTTCGTCTGTCATACAGGGTGAACGAAATACGGTCCAGAAAGCGTTTGGTTGAAATTGAATATTACCTTATAACTGTATTACCGTAACGAATGGGCGAATTTGGGTTTTGTATATTCGTCAATTCCGTACTTAAAACTATAATGCCGGCAATAAATAGCTTGTATCTACACCAAATCGTGGATTCAGTACACTTTGCGTAGCTCCGTGGTTAGGGCGTCGGATGTGAAGGTCTCTGGTTCAAACCTGAATGCAGGTCATTTTTTTTTCTCTTTAAATATTTAATTTTATTATATTTTTACGCTCTGACTGCTTAAATTTGGTAAATTATTGTAACTGAAGTTTTTTACTACGAAAACTATAAACATTTTTCAATTTAGGAGAAATATTTATTTCTTTTTCCAAGTAACGCGGGTGACATTGAACGTTTTCAAACTTTTTTTCCCATTATAAGGATTTACAATTTATGTGTTAGATATATTTGAGCAAATGCAGCGTTGCCAGATCTACAAGGAATTAAAACCAATTTTATTTTTTCAAATGGAGCAACCTATATTTTCTTTCAAATTCGGATCCTTTGGAAAGTTATTTAAACTTTTATTAGTATTTACATATAAATAGTTGTTACATTTTTCTTGGGATTTACAGAAAGTGGTATTGTTACCTAAGATTCACATGTTTAAAAAGGATTATCGAAGGAAAAAAAGCTAACATTTTAAAGCCATGTGGGATGATCGCCAGAAATAATAATTAAGTTATAATTAACAAATTTACTTTGTCGTTTAAGTGCTTATAAGCAAAGATGTTTTTTTTCTTGAGCACTGCGTATTATTCTTAATAAATCAGTTCTAAACTGCAAATTCAGATGAGTCATTTTTATATACCATCTCCACAATTAATAAGCGGTATGCGATTTTTTACCTAGAGGGATAATAAAAACTTAATTTTTTTGGTACGCATATATCTGTACCAAATAAAACATATAAGATCCATCGAAAAATCTTTGAGAGCTACATTCTCGATTTTAAGTCTAATGCATCTACCCAATTTTAATAGAAAAAGGCACTATTATACAGTTAATTAAATTAAATATTTTTTTATCACTGGACAAGGGGAAGACAACAAAGGTGGTCACCGACATTAAAACGCTCAAAGTCAAACTCAACTTTTATTAACGAAATCCCTTCACGGAATAAACCTAATAGTAAGTCTCTTTGTGGAAGAACCCCCTTGGGAAACTTCGGATCATAAACTTGCGAAACTCGTCGTAAACCACGATAAAGAGGCAAAATGGCAACGCCGGCGCGAACGACGCCACTGGGATCGCGTCGAAATCGAACACCCTGTTCAAACCCGGGCAATAGACGAAGAGCAGGCCGAGCATTATTTGGAATGTCAGGCCCGTGTTCAGGACGTGATTAGTCATGCCCTGCTGGAACAGCGACAACCTTGAAACAAGTTACGTACTTGTATTGTGCGAACCTGGCGCATGCACCAAAAAGTCGACAACGAACGCCTGACTGCGGTTGCAGGCACTTATTGTACGACCACAAATATAGTGCATTTCGCAGGACTGTGGTTAAACCCATCCAAACAGATGTTAAGTAGGTCTTATCTGAGATAGACCGGAATGAACATTTGTAGAAACATGAAATTTTTATTTGAAACGTAAATGCATCGATTTAAATTTGATTAATCATTAACGCTGCGGGGTATTTTCGAATAAGTAGAAGCGAATATTTTAAAATAAGGTGATATGTATCGTTATTAAGAGTATAATCTATGAGGTTAGTGTCAAAATTTCCCGGCCTGACATAAATGCAGCTCCAGTATCACGATCAAACTTTTTCTTCTTTTAAATATATATCTTAGTAATGTCGTAAATAACGCAAATTGAGTACAGAGCAGTCATAAAGTTTTTGACAAAAGAAGGGTTAGCACCTAAAATTATTAAAGAAAGGCTGGATGGTGTGTACGGCCAAAGTTCTCCTTCGTATTCTGTAGTGAAAGAATGGGCAAAACGTTTTCGAATGGGGCAGGAGTCCCTTGAAGATGATTCAAGAACTGGTCGGCTAGTGGAGGTCATAACGGAAGGTATCGTTGCGATTGTGGAAGAGGTGGTATTGAGTGATCGACGTTTAAAGGTCAAGGAAATCTCAGAAATTACTAAGCTTTCTCATACAAGTGTTCGTCGAATCCTGCATGATCATTTAGGTATGCATTAGGTTAGTGCAAGATGGGTTCCTAAAAACCTTTCGGCTATTAAAAAACAACGCCGTGTCGAGTGTGCGCGGTCTTTTTGGAACTCTGTGGGTCGGAATCGAAGCCTGTGATAGAAACTATTGTGACGGGAGATGAAACTATGGTTCTCTATTATCGAAAAAAGAATCAATGGAGTGGCATCGTAAGGGTGAAGCACCTCCAAGAAAATTCAGAGTCTGCCAGTCAACAAGAAAGGTGATGGCCACGATCTTTTAGGATTGTGAAGGAATTCTTTTGATAGATTTTAAAGAAACTAATATCAGTGTCAATGGTAAATATTACACAACATTATTACATAAATTGCGACACTGCATACGTGTAAAACGTCGAGGAAAAGTGACCAGAGGCGTGCGTATTTTGCACGATAATGCTCCTGTCCATACTGCTGGTGTTGCACAAGCTGCCATTTCATGCTGGGTCCAAAAATGGTTGGGTGGAAGATGCATTATTTTTGTCTGCCGAAAACGCCAAAGATTGCTGGGCGAGAAAGATCGAAAACATACTTATTTCCCGCTTGTTAGTGTAGGTAGATAAATTCCTAGGGCGATCCTGGCGTGCTTAAGGGTTTTGGAATAATAAACTTAATCACGGGGTCGGTTGTAAAAGCACTATATTTCTGGTCCAAGTATAGTAAAATGTTATGGAAAAGCCATCACCCAGCAGTATTCTAAAGATCAGCCCCACTATCTAGAGAATCACTCGGAATGCTATCAAAACATTCGATGAATAAATATCAGCCTCTTTGCTCACCTTCGCGTTTTGCACCTCAGCAAATCCCCGATCTGCGTGATCACGATCGACATGAAATACGACGCGATCCCTTTCCTCGTAAGAATCATCCGCATGGAGTGACTCCACTCCTGCCCGTAAGAGTCGACCAAGTCGTTCACCGTCCTGTCCTCCCACTCCTTCCTGATACCTGCGAGCATAGAAACGATAACGCGGTTTTCCCCAAGTCTCTCCCCACCCACCAATCAACCTATCCCAGAAGAAGCCGTACTGCGCCATGGTGTAGAAGTAGCAAGCGAACGCGGAGCACACCTGTATCATCCCGATCTGAAAATACGACGTCACGATCAGCCTCCGGTTGATGAGCTTGTCCTTGCCCGGATCCCTGGGGTTCCTGTTCATGATGTCCGCCTCCGGCTTCTCGTACGCCAAGCTAATGGCGCCCCACAAGTCGGTCCCCACGTCTATTAGCAGGATCGCGATGATGCTCAACGGCTGCGGTATATTGAGGAGGATGAGGAAAATGAACGGCGCGATTTCCGGCACGTTGGCGGTCAACTCGTATGCGATGCTCTTCTTCAAGTTGTCGAAGATGAGCCTTCCCTCCTCTATGCCCCTGACGATGCTGGCGAAGTTATCGTCGAGCAGGATCATGTCGGCAGCTTCTTTCGACACATCGGATCCGCTTATACCCATCGCGATCCCGATGTCGGCCTTCTTCAAGGCCGGGGAGTCGTTGACGCCGTCACCCGTAGCCGCGACGACCCTGTTCAATCTCTGCAAAGCTTCGACGATGCCCAGCTTTTGTTGGGGCGTCGTCCTCGCGAACACTATCTCGTCGTGGTCTTTGAGCACCTGCTCGAGTCGCGAGGGTTCCATCTGTTTGAGTTCCGAACCGGTCACGACGATCGAGCTCGAGTGACTCTTGAGATAGATCGAAAAGTTATTGCGCTAAGGCGTCTACAGAGTGGCCAAATGAGAATGCAACGTTGTGAATCTCTGCTACGACGATTAGTTTGGGTATTTTTGTTCCATTATTTCAGCTTAAATTGTAGATCTTTTCTTCCTGATTCCAAAAACATGTAGTTGATTAACATTTCATTCAGCCGTTTTTGAGATATTTCAGTTTAAACATAATTATCATTCGATTTCTGAACAATAGACATACTGTTTAAAAATGGTCAAGTCTGCCTGGATAGCAACCATATTATCTGTGGTTGCAATTGTTTAATAATAATAATAATAGTAATAATAGCACTTTATTTCCAACAGGTAACACGACCCAATTACAGGAAATACTAATCATCCAATATATATACCAGGGGACGTAGTTAAATCTACTAATCTTATAACTTAAATATAAAGAAGGAAAGAATGAGAAAGAAAAGGATGAGACTTATACTTATACGGATAACCCGACGCCAATCGAAGTAGCCGAAGTATGGCCTGGAGACCATCATAATATAAATCGCAGTACGATGATAGTTTGTTGAAGGTAGCAGACACATTGTAAATAGGGTTTTGAAAATGGATATTGGACCTGAGTAACTGCGGTAAGAAAGTTGATTGATGTCTCCCTTCCAGCCGCGGCACATGAAAACCTAATTGTTCCAGAAGAAACGGACAATCGACTCCGTAATGAACTAACTTATAGAGAAATGAAACGGATTGCAAGTCTCTGCGCAAGGTCAGGGGCAGTATAGCGAACCTTCTTAGTAGAAGATCGTGATCAACTCCCCTCTCAGGATAGGAACCATCCTCCCTGAACATTAGATACTTTAGTAACCTTCTCTGCACACTCTCATTGGACTGAGTGTGGCAGTTATAAATTGGTGACCATATCAAGGAGTCATAGTCAGTTAAATAACAATTTAACAGCAGCTGAACTACAAAAGTGCCTGCAATTTCAAATGACGAATCCTAAAATTTGCATTTCACTGGAAACCATTTTAGTAACGTGAGGTACAAAAGAGAACGGCTGGTCAAATAAAATCCCCAGATCCTTCACAGTGGCAAGTCTAGTCAGGGCAGTACCATCCATATTATAATTAAAGACTGTAGGAGTTTTTGTGCAGTGGTAAGAAACCACATTACACTTGCTGATGTTAAGATGCAATTTATTTTTAGTACACCACTGATCGTCTATAAATATATTTAACAGAAGAGGTCCAAGGTAGAGGCACGCCAGAAGTTGGAACAAAAGGAACTGATCTAAACCCCTCAATCTCAACAAACTATCGACGATTCACCAGATAGGACCTCAACACTGTAATCAGTGAATCAGAGAAACCAAATTGTTGAGATGCTTTTTCAATCAGTAAGTGATGATCTACCTGGTCAGACGCTTTGTGGAAGTCAGTTTACATAACGTCAACTTGACCCTGCTTGTTCAGGGAGTCACAGACATACGAAGACAACTAATCAAAACTGAAGATCTGCAGCGTAAGTTATATAACTTAAGATATTTCGAATGGATTATACTGAGGAAGAAAAACGCCATAACCTCCATTATTTTCGATACATCGGGAAGTATTTCCTTTCAATTTCCTATCAATACCCGAGATGATAAAATCGGTGTTTAGATCTTGCAAAACGATATTAAGTCTTTCTCTTATCACTTGTAAACTTTCAGGCCTATTTTAATAAATTTTATTTTTTAAATTTCCTCACAAAAAAATGTCACGAGGATTCAGGTCGGAGCTGTTGGCAGGCCATTTAAAAGTTCCTTCCCTACCTATCCAAAACCTATATTATTTAGATAATCGGTAACTGGTTGGACATTATGTTGAGGTGCGCTATCCTAACTGGCCCATTTTCTAACTGTTCTATTTAAATATCACTGGCCATTCAAGGATCCTCGGTATATAATTAACCGACCTTCGTCCTTGGATTTTCACTGCCTGCATTTTGTGTAGATTATTAGTGGACCAAAAATGTTTATTCTTTCTATTAAATACAGCTGCTGTTGTGAACGCAGCCTCATCCGTAAATTTTGTTTAGAAAATTTCCATCTTCTTGAGATCTTCTATACATTTCAGTGCAATATTCGGGCCTCTGCCTGTGATGTTCATCAGTCAAATTTTGCACTGTAAGGAACTTATACGGGTGAAACTTCTGATATTTTAGAATTCGTTAAATTTTACTACAGGACTTTCGGGATAATATTTTAATTCAGCATTTTCTGAAAAATATGAATTATAAAAATTAAGAAGTCAAGTATAATAATTTACCTTGAAAGTAAAGTACTAGATATATTGAGGTCTTCATCAAAATTTCGGTCCTCAAATTGTTTAACTATATTTTCAATTGTATTTATTGGATATATTTATATATATTTGTCTATATTCTCCATGCACCCTTGCAACATTATGTCGGTTTGAATAATATGATTTTATTATTTGGCGTTTTTCTTCCTCAGCATAATCCATATGAAATATGTTTAAGTAATTTTACTTACGCTGCAGATCTATAGTTTTGATTAGTTGTCAAAAATAGAACATTGTTAAAACAATTGCAAACATGGATGATATAGTTGCCATCAAGGCAGACTTGACCAATTTCAAGCAATATGGCTATTGTCCAGAAATCGAATGATAATTATTTTTAAACTGAAATATCTTAAAAACGGCTAAATAAAATGTCAATGGAATCAGAAAAAAAATATCTACGATTCATTTTGTCATTTTGGCAGCTTGCGATCGTCGTTTGTTTTTTCTGACATTTGCATAAGATAATAGAGCAAAAATCTTCAAACTTGAAATTACAATTTTTTTTCTATCTTTCAAAATTAACCCTGTAGATGAGTGCCAAAATGTACCTGTGACGTCATAAGGGTAATGTTCTCGACGCTGGGCTGCAAGTGAGGTGAAATGATGCCGACCTTGCGCGCGATCGCGGCGGCCGTGATAGGGTGATCCCCGGTGACCATGATCACCTTTATGCCGGCACTCCTACATTTGCTGACCGCTTCGACGACGGACGGCCGCGGGGGGTCGATTAAAGAGAGCAAGCCCACGAATCTGAGCCCTGAAAAGCATACTTCACGTTGTTCTATCTAATTCGAAAAATATGTAGATATGATATCCGAGGATATGTCACCGTAAATGTCCGACAGCCGGCGATATAAATAAATAAACAAAACCACAATATAAACTTAAGTATACGAATTTTTTGCATACAAAAATATGAATCAAGCAATAAATCTCAAAAAAGAAAAACGATAAAAAAAACAATATTAATTGATTAACGATCTGGAAATTTAAAAGGGCCACGTAATCGGCTAATCTGAGGGTATTTATTAGTCCAACAGATGTATACGAGACGCAGCTTTAGCTTTTACACTTCTTTCATACTGACAATTGAATCGTAATTCTATGGCGTCCTCTGTCAAGTCTGCTGTTGTGGGGAAATCCTGATCTATCACCATAAAATCTTGCAACTTGTAAACGTAATTGTTGTTTGAAACTGCTTTATCCACTCGCTCAGTGGCTGATCATCTTCCAAGTCCTGTTCGCATTCTGTCCCGGTAATAAGTCCTGCATGACGATAGGAGTGTTGAATTGTTTCTGCTGTTACCTCTTTCCAAGTTTTACTAATAAAGTCGACCGCATCTAGCATATTAATGGAAAATGTGCCTTAAAATCTTCATTTGAATTAAAACGTTTTTCGTGTATCTCGTGACTCTTAAGACTTTTTATTAGGCTCTGGTCCATCGGCTCTAATACACTTGTTGTTTTGGCTGGAAGAAACGCGAAATCAATATTCCGTAGATTTGAAACATATGTTATGTAAGTTTCCTCCCTTTTAATCCTCCATCCCGTGTCCGTATCTCCTCTTCAAAAATTTGCGATGTCATCCGTGCAGACTTGTTTGCCTTGTAAGTGACCGGTAAATGCTTGATGTTATTAAAACATCGTGGGCTAGTTCATTTTCCGATCACGACTAGCTTTTGTTTTTCTCTGTCACTCAATTTGGCAGCTACTAAGCAACACTTGATTTTAATGGCACAATTAACCTTGTTCGGCGGTAACTAGGAGTACTTTTAGCAAAAATTACTTCAGAAACGACTTTAGAGTATCTTCCTTAAGAAACACAATTGCCTTCTAGTGTACTTCTTATTAGATTCAAGAAATTGTTCACTATTCACTACCAATCAAATTTTGTGTAAGCCTGTTCGGACCTATACGTGTTTGTCGACATACACCGGTGAAGGACTGAATTTATAACAAAACCAATAATTGTTCAGTGTCTTCATTTGGTGTCTGTCGACATTAACCGGTGTATGTCAACAATCATTAATTTCGGCCTTTCATGGTAACATATATATTTTAAATACATACACAGAAAGAACGGAATCATTGGCGTAACAGTTATTAGCTAAGGGACGCCAATGCTTTTGATAGCGTTAATCCAGTAGGAGCTAAAGTTGCGATACTAATGGCAAAGGTTAACGCTCGGTGTGTGCAATACAAAACATTCCCGTGCCTTATTATGTTCACTTTTTGCCTTAAAATCACTCGATCAATTTCCTCCCCAAGCCTGACATTAGTTGCACAACACCCTGTATGTTATTTTAATTATATGCAATCATAATAACATTCTCATTTTATTATATACATATCTTATTGAATAATCGAACTAGCTGACGTTTCGCCAATTGTTGTCTTCTTCAGAGATTAACTGAAACTGGCTCGCATTGTACTCGGTACCTGCTTATATATTGTTTGAAGGGGGGCGGAGCTAAAGGAAGCGAATGTAAGTTCTCTCGGATGACGGATTATTATATTGGTGACAGGTCAACACCTAGGTCGCAGTGAAGATTGTATGGTTGCCTAATAAAATTTGCTATCCGGTTTCGTGATTGTATTCGGCAACTGCAGATGGGTTTATTTGTCGTAGTCTTAAGGCTCTTTTATGTTCTTCGAGCGTAGGGAATTAGTCATCAAACAATATATAAACAGGTAAAATTGGTTCATAGATATAAGAAAGTGGCTAACTGATACGAGTTAAGGAAAGACCCGGGCAAGCTGTAAAAATGAAATATGGCAGAACAGCTCCGTACTTTGCTTAGAATTTAATTATTTGGGGTTTTGTTAGGAAAGACACTAAACAATATTTATTTATTTATGTTTAAATCTAAAAAAAACTTCGGTTTCTATAAGTTTGAGGATATTAGAGTTAACACGGGAAAAAACGTTGTTACGACGAATCGCAGATTTCAGTTGGTGCCAAACATGTTCAATGGGATTAAATATACAGTGGTAGGGTGGAAGCCTTAAAACTGTATGCCCTAGTTTTTTTGCATAATTATCACAGATGTATTCCTTTTGTAGGTTCAAGCTTTGTAGAACCTCAATTAATTGCTTTTTGGTATAATCTTAGTGAAAATAAATGTCGTTATTATAGATGTACTTTTGGATTGTTGATTTTGTGTCACATGAGGAAGGGGTTTTAGTCAATTGTCTACTGTGATAACTTGCATTGTCCATTACAATTACGCTATTAGGAGGAACGTTTGGAACTAGTTTGTTTTTAAACCAACTTTCAAATAAATCATCGGTGGTGTCTTCATGGTAATCCAGAGAAAAATCTTTAATATTTTTCACAGACAGATAAATTCCATTTGGAATCCAACCATCTTTAGAGCCAGCATGCAAAATAGTTATTCTTTTACCTCTTTTTGATGGCGCGTTTGTTTTACACTTATCAGTTGAGTCAACCCAACCCTTTTCCGGGGTATCATAAGTGTCGAACCAGGTTTTATCCAAGCAAATAGATAGATATTCCAGTCGCCATTTCTAATTCTAAAACATTCCATTAAAACTTCACTTTTGTCAATTTTTTTCAATCTAAAACCCATGTGTCGAATACAATTCCATAAGGTAGTTCTGCCACATTTGACACCGGTTTAATCTTTTTCAAGCCTCCTAATTAAGATATCTAATGTAGGTACGCTTTGTTTCTCGTATAACTGGTAAATTTTGCGCCGTATTATATCTAGATCACTTTCATCTACACTGGAGAAATTGTCAGCATCGCTTCTTTTTTTTCCTCGCTGAAATGGGATTATTCACAATTTTCCATACAGTGGATGTTGGAATTTTCGTCAATTTGGCCGTTTCTTTTAAAGATGCATGCTTTCTGGCTCCACGTTATGACTTCCTTAGTCTCAATAGAATAATGTTTTCTACATTTGGGCGGGAGCATCTCCTAGAATACACTAGACTCGCACATATTTTGCGTAATTCGCACACGATCCAACACACGCTGTATTACACACGAAATAAGAATGATTACTAATATACTTAAACTAAGTAGTTTACCAAAGCAAAGAATGTTAAACACAGGTAGGTATACAATTATTTTCTATTACGGACCACAATTTTACCTGAATTTAAATTCCAAAACTTTAGGTAATAATCTTGTTGCATTGTATGTTAATGACCACCCTTGGATAATCCCATTCAAAAGCAAATGGTCACTTTCTTATATCTATCATACCGAGTAGAATGCGAGCCTGCTTGAGTCAAGCTCTAAAGAAGCAAACTGGATGATTGGGGAAACGTCAGCAAGATTTGTAAACAGTACCACAATAGCCCGTGGGAGTTTCTTTGGAAAAAAATATATTCTCACTTTGCCAGTAAGTACATAATAAAAACGGTACCGGTCAGTGGAAAGTCCGGATGCTCGACGTCGAACTTATAGTCGTAGTCGTAGTCGGGCAAATACAAATCGGCAAAGCCCAAAACCCTCTCCCCCTTGCGACCCATATTCGCGAGAGCCCGCGCTATCGGCTTCGCTGTCCGCGAATTGACCTTCAAAGCTTCGCCGTCCCGCAGTATGGAGGCGCAATGATCGAGCACCTTTTCGGGGGCACCTTTCATCACGACCAGGAACCCTCCGGTTGGTACCCGGTGAACGGACACCTGGTACTTGTTGGAGGAACTGAATGGAATTTCGATCACCTTGGAGTAAAGCCCAGTCAGAAGTCGTAATCATTCGCCGGTATAATACGACCAAAAATATAGTGCATTTATGGCTTTGACGTTTTAAGAATTTTACAGTAGTTTAACCGAAGGCCTTCGCAGGTAAAACCCATCCTAACAGATGCTTATTCTGCATTAAGTAGGTCTTGTGTGAGATGTTTCAAGAGTTGCTCGGCGAAAAATATTGAAAACATATTTATATCCCTCTTGTTAGTGTAGGTAGATAAATTCCTAGGACGGTCTTATTTATTTATCTATATTTCTGGTCGAAGTATACCTTTGGGAACCTCTTCCGCGTTGTCTCGATGTCGACCAGCTTGTCCATCAGCATGAGGATAGCCGATTCGCTCGGATCGCCGATCACATTGCGAGCGTCGTCAAAATCCGCCCGGCTACACAGAACGGCGACGTCGCACAACGCCCGATACGCGACGCTGTCGACGTCAACGTCGTCCCAATAGTTGAGCACGTCTACTTCGGACGCGTCGTAAAACACGCGCGAGGCAGTCATCTTGTTTTGCGTCAGCGTCCCTTGAACGAGTGCCATTTCATTCTCAAGATTCGTATAATTTTGCGGCATTTCGAATGGTATTAGACAAAAACTTATTCAGGAAAGTGATAATGTCTCACCCGAAGAAATAATTAAGAAGTGTATGGTGTACGGTATCGCCAAAGATAGAAGTAATACAATTGGTAGTCATCGGTGGATGCTATAGATAAACTGAATGTGAACGCTAACATTTGTTGGTTATGCCACATATGAAACTACTCACTTATTAAATAATTATAAAAAGTAATAAAAAGTCAACAAGGATCTTTCAAAGAAAGAATCTCTGATTGTTAACATTGTCGTAGTCTCACTTTAGGAAGGCATCGATATAAAATCCGAGAAACTTTGTTAAAATTAAACAATTTTAGAGTTGAATTGAAAAAGACACTGTTCTACAAGAGCTGAAAAAGGTAATTTTAAATGGTTGGTCTAATTGAAACAAAAATTTGAAAGAATCTCCTTATAAATCCGAATTGACACTTTCAGATAATTTAATTTAAAAGACAAATCTTTTAGCTTGGTATTCAGTTATCTTGAGAATCTTTATTTTGGCCAAGAATGTGCACAACTAAGAGCCCAAGAATTTGAAGATTTCTTTAAAGAATGGGAATTTATGCATGTGATTACTTCACCCACAAATGTCCAGTCTAATGGTTTCGCCGAAAAAAATACATTAAAACTACTAAAAAGACGTTAAAGAAAATTTTAGATGATAAAAGAGATATTAATATGACTCTTCTACACTATTGATCAACATCTCTTTTTGAAAACATTTCACCAGCGGATTTATTCATGTGTAGCAAATTAGGAAATTATATTACAATAACTAAAACATGATTAATCGCATTTATTATAAAATAAAGGAAACAGAGTATTACTAGAACGAAGTGTATGTGCAAAGACAACCAAAGAGGAATCGGTTTCCTGGTGTTGTTCTAGATAAGGTTAGAGATACAGACTATAAAATGCAATTGGAAAATGGTTCTGTTTTGATTCGAAATTGCAAATTCATAAAGAAAATTAACCGCTTACCAGAAAACTATTGTCAAATTGGGGATTACATAGAGTTGGAGACTGGGAAGAAAAATATGGATGATAAAACGGGAAATTTAAATGAAAATAATTCAGATAGACCGTGCGATACTCCACAGGACTTGACAAATTACACCGATAATGAACTTGAAAATACTGATAATCGAAATTCTAGTAGTGTATCTAGTAAAACGTCTTCCACCGAAATCATTAAAATGGTTGTAGAAAATAATAGGACGCATATCTAAACTTTCATCCAGGTTTGAATAGTTGAAATACGCTATCGGCGATAGTGGGACAGCTTAGTACTAAATCAGACACAAGAACAAAAACAAAAAGCCTCATTTTAATTTTGCTGCAAATTTAAATTGTAATTTATTCTGGCATCAGTTTGACAGGTTTCTTCCCATACACTTAATTGTTCAAACACCCTGTATATATCGTAAAATAAATTTGTAATTTATTAACCTGTACTGCTGAAACAAAATTCTAATCCTTTGGTTAGTTAATGTTGGGGACGGAGGCTACAGAACTTCCTATATTTGTATTTTGATAAAGTAAAAGTCCGATATGTACCGGTTTTATCCGAACAGATGACGTCGCACGCGCCGAGCGTTTCCAAAATTTCGAACTTCTTGATCAGGCAATTCTTGCGGGCCATCCGTTTGGCGGTCAAGGTAAGGCATACGGTGAACGCAACGGGCAAACCTTCCGGCACCTGCGCCACCACGATCGCGATAAAGTACGTGAAACTTTGGAAAAACGTGTAGCCCTTCGCCATCGACATCGCGAATAGCGCGGTACCGATCAAACATGCGATGACAGATATGACCTTGACGAAAGCGTTCAGCTCTTTCCTGAGGAGGGTCTCGTCCTTGACGATCGCCGTAGCCAAACCCGCGATGTGACCTGCGTGAAAATTTACGTTTATTTTTTAATAAAAGAATGAAAATAAGCAACGAAAATTATTACTGACACGACGAACCTAAGCCTAGGAAAAAAATTATGACTGCGAAGCGCTTTGTTCGCTACCAAAACGCTACGAACATGAGCCTAGATCACTAGACACACCCGAACAGCTTGCTTGACAATATAGACAATCCTTGCACATGTGCTGCCACCTGCACATCATAATAATAATAATAATAATAATAGTCTTTATTGAGATATTTTAAATTATTGCACAAAGTTTAGACAAAATCACTTAAGACAAACTAATATTACAATTATATTATAATTATAATTACAATAATAATAATAAAACAAGTTATAATGATAATAATAAGAATCTAAAAATGCATTTTTGGTAAATTACTAATTTGTTTGGTACAGTAATTCCAATAAGTGGACGTAAAAATTGACACAGATATTTAATTTTAAGCCAGTTTATCCCAAATATGTTTTTAGAATTTAGCTTAAGATTGTGTTTTTACTATACAGAAAAAGACCATTAAGATCCAAGTTAAGAATAGCTTCGACGTAACATACTTAGCTGAGTTAAATGTATGTAACAGCTGGGTGTCATCAGCATATGAATGAATTTGAGAAAATTTGATTTCCTTATACATATCAAATGTGTACAAGAAATACAACAGAAGTCAAAGAATTGAACCCCGTGCCACTCCCGAAATAAATGGGGTAGGAATTTTGATATTTCGTGATCCCCTCCGATGGACGATGGACGTAGAACAGAGGTAGTCCTACTACTGTCACTGACTCAGAAAAATCCATACATAGGTTTCAAAAATGGTGTAACAGCTATTAAAAGCCAAAAAAGCGAACTAATACTGAAAAAAAACTAGAAATCTTTGCACAAAATTACATATGACGTGGAAGAACTCTCGTTACTTTCAAGAAACATTAAGTGTCCGAAAGTTCAAGCAAAAGACTTGACGTTCGACAGGAAGTTATGCTTCCATTCCGACGGAATGTTTTGGGTTCAAACCCTATTGCACTTTTTTTTTTCTCTTTAAATATTTAATTTTATTATATTCTTGCGTCGTGGCTGCTTAGATTTCGTAAATTATTGTAACTGAAGTTTTTTAGGACGAAAACTATAAATATTTTTCAATTCAAGAGAAATATTTATTTATTTTTCCAACACAGGTGAATTTATGTTTTAGATATAATTGAGCAAACGCAGCGTTGCCAGATCTACAGGAAATTAGCAGCAATTTTATTTTTTCAAATGGAACACCCTGTATTTTTTTTGAAATTCGGAACATTTTAAATAACTTTTGTTAATATTTGCCCGTAAATTATTCCCGTGGTAATCGTAAAAAAAATATTTGGATTTACGCATGTGACGAAGCAAAAAAAGTTGTACAATGCATTTAGTATAGTTGGCAGATATATTATACAGGATGTCACGAGAATGTGAGAAACTATCCTTTAAGCGGTCTATGGTGTGTCTAAAGTCTTTGAATTTGCTGTAGAGGTGTTTTATAATATAGTTATTGTATAAATACAATAAACACAATAATAAATTAAATGACTCGTACAATTCTATACCCGGGTAACCACCTCCGCTAGATCCCCAGACTTTTCATATTACTCATGGGATTTCACTTAAAGTCTGTTGATAGATATAAGAAAGTGGCTAACTGATACGAATTAAGGAAAGACCCGGGCAAGCTGTAAGAATGAAATATGGCCGAACAGTTCAATACTTTGCTTAGAATTTAATTATTTGGGGTTTTGTTAGAAAAGATACTAAACAATATTCAATCAATTCAATCGGGGTCCGTACGACATTTTAGAGGACTGTGATGACATTCTTTGATAAATTGACCTTTCTCTTTCCATCAAGGGAAGATTAGAGAGAGGGCAGAGTCGGCTCCTGGGATGGACTTGTCTGGTACACGGACGGGTCCAGAATGGGAGATCTGGCCGGAGCTGGAGTGTACTGCGAGACAACAGGATCAAGCTTGTCGGTCCCTCTGGGTCAGTACTGCACTGTGTTTCAGGCGAAAATTTTCGCTTTATTGATGGCGGCCAGAGAGGTGCTTCGGCTCAACTACGGAAACAGGAGAGTCTTCTTCTGCTCGGATAGTAGGGCTGCACTCATGGCGCTGAAGTCAGTGCGTACGCGCTCCTTGTTGATAAAGGAGTGCAAAGGGGTACTGAGGAGGGTGGCTGAGGAGAGAAAGGTCACGTTGGTCTGGGTCCCGGGTCACACCGGTATCCGGGGCAATGAGGCAGCGGACGCCTTAGCCAGGGAGGGCTCCTCGCATAGGCATATAGGGCCAGAGCCCCGCTTGGGGATCGCCCCGTGTGTGAGGCGGGGAGCTCTCGAAGCCTGGACGAGAGACCGGACCGCGGGGGGCTAGAGAGTTGCTCCGGGAATGAGGCAGGCGAGGCTTATGATGGATGGGCTCGCCCTTCCTCGGACCAGGGAGCTGCTTAGACTAACCAGAAGGGAGTGTAGAGCACTAACAGGGGCCTACACAGGACATTGTAGGCTTAGGAGGCATCTTTGCTTGCTAGGCATTGGAGACGACCCGGAGTGTAGGTGGTGCATGGAAGGGGAGGAGACCCCGTATCATCTGCTCACCGAGTGCCCTGCCTTGACATGGGCAAGATTGGGAGTCTTCGGAACGGCCCTGATCGATCCGGACTCAGTGCACGGTATTGGGCTAAAGGAGTTGCTGACCTTCTACAGGAGGGGCGGCATTCTGGACGCCCTCTAGAGCGGCCTGGGGGCACAACGGGCCCATCTGGTGGCCTAAGTGCTTGGACGCCCGCGAGGGCGCCCCCCTTTAATACTAATACCAATACCAATACCAATTACCTACCAAATTACTTAAAATTATTCACATAATATATCAGTACCATTATCGCTATCATCGCCTGTTCTAATTATTATTTATTTGTTCTATATTATTTGCAATATGGATATACGATTGTTCTGCTTTTTCTATATGGTTAACAGAATTTGCCCAATTTTGTGGAGGGATGTTAAACACTTCGGTTTCTATAAGTTTGAGGACATTGGAGTTAAAACATTATTACGACGAATGGCAGAGTTCAGTTGGTGCCAAACATGTTTAATGGCATTAAATACACAGCGGTAAGGTGGAAGCCTTAAAACTGTATGCCCTAACTTTTTTGTATAATTATCAGAGACGTATTCCTTTTGCAGGTTCAAGCTTTGTAGAACCTCAATTAATTGCTTTTGGTATAATCTTCGTGAAAATAAATGTCGTTATTATACGTGTAGTTTTGGATTGTTGCTTTTGTGTGACATGAGGAACGGGTTTTAGTTAACTGTCTACTGTGATTACTTGCGTTGTCCACTACAATGACGCTATTAGGAGGAATATTTGGAACTAGTTTGTTTTTAAACCAACTTTCAAATAAATCAGCGGTAGTATCTTCATGGTAATCCAGAGAAGAATCTTTAATATTTTTCGTAGAGAGAGAAAGCCTATTTGGAATTCAACCATCTTTAGGGCCAGCATGCAAAATAGTTATTCTTTTACCTCTTTTTGATGGCGCGTTTGTTTTACACTCATCAGTTGAGTCAACCCAACTCTTTTCAGGGGTATCATAAGTGTCGAACCAGGTTTCATCCAAGTAAATAATCAGCCTTTGTTGTTCTTTGCAAATCCTAATTTTTTGTAGATATTCCAGTCGCCATTTCTGAATTCTAAAAGATCCCATTAAAACTTGCCTTTTGTCAATTTTTTTAAATATAAAACCCATGTGTTGAATACATTTCCATAAGGTAGTTCTGCCACATTTAACGCCGGTTTCGTCTTTTTCAAGCTTCCTAATTAAGATATCTAATGTAGGCACGCTTTGTTCCTCGTATAAGTGGTAAATTTTACGCCGTATTATATCTTGGTCACTTTCATCTACACTCGGGCAATTATCAGCAGCGCTTCTTTTTTTCCTCGCCGAATTTTCCATACAATTGATGTTGGAATTTTCGTCAATGTGGCCGTTTCTTCTAAAGATGCTTGCTTGCTGGCACCACGTTCAATGGGAGTCGAATAAACATTGTTTATAACTTCCTTAGTGTCAATAGAGATACACTAGGCTCGCACATATTTTGCATAATTCGCACACGATTCAACACACGCTGTATTACACACGAAATAAGAATGCTTACTAATAAATTTAAACTAAGTAGTATACCAAACCAAAGAATATTAAACACGGACCATAATTTTACCTGAATTTAAATTAAATTTAAATTAAGTAATAATCTTGTTGCATTGTATGTTAATGACCACCCTTGGATAATCCCATTCAAAAGAAATTGATCACTTTCTGATATCTATGAACAGACCATACCCAAGACAGTGTCGTCGCCGCATCTGATCACCACCCCACGGCCTCTACCTTCGACCACACACGTGCCATAGAACACTAAATTCTTCGTCTCCATGGGGTCTTCGTGGGTATACTCCGAGCCTCGCGATTGGGCCATCGACTCTCCCGTCAATGGACTGTTATCGACCTAGCTCAATGTTCGTCGTAAAAAAATCCGCATACGCGAACTTTGGCACCGTCACCTTCAGGTTTCGACTCTCGAGTATCCTCATGTCAGCGGGTACCATATCACCGGAGACAATTTCCACCACGTCCCCAAGCACCAGCTCCTCGCTGGGCAGGCTGTACTTGGAGCCCTCCCTTATCACCTTCGCGTACTTGGGAATCATTTTTTTGAAGCTTTCTATGATGGCCGAGTGAGTTTGTTCCATGTAGAAGCCGACCAGGCCGGTGATGGTTGCGATTCCAGCGAGGATCGACGCTGGGGGTCATGAGTACGTTAAGTCCGTAGAAAGAAGCGATTTTTACCAGCGCTTCCACATTTAATTGTCAAAATTAACTCGAATTACAGAATGTACTTGAAATATTACTGTTTGAAAGGAACCATGCCAACACGCCCACATTCTTACCCAACCACAGCGACTCGGGACCCGCGTGACTCTCGTCGTACAAGGCCGTCACGATGTATTCCACGTAGCTGAGCATGCTACCCGTCCAAATTAAGGTGTTGAAACCGCCGAATAGGAACTTGGCCAAAACCGCCCACTTAGACGTGGTCTCAGATGGAACCAAGCAATTGGGACCGTTCTGGATGAGCAACTCGTCTGCTCTCCACTTGGTCAGGCCGTTCTCCAAGTCGGTCTCGTATCTAATGAAATAAATTGATTAGATTTTGGTCCTTTAGGCAATTCAAATGAGAGGCAAGGCTTTTACAAAACGGCAAGCAAACAAAACACTATTCGTAAATTATGTGTAATTTTCCTCCATTCAATTCTATCTCTTGCTACATTTCTCCAATTAATAATCCTTCTCTGTGTTAAATCTTCCTCCACGGATTCTTTCCATCTTCTACTTGGTCTTCCTCCTCATGATCCTTTACTTCCATATTATTTTCCACCCTGGTGACGTGCCCTAGCCATTGTAGATTGGTTTATCTCCAAATTCGTCTTTCTCTCCCAGCCTGTGTACCTAGTTTCTGATGGTTCTTTTCATTGAGGGCCATGTCTGGGACCACTGTCTTGCAGTCCTTGTCCTTTGAACATAGAATTTTATTACAATTGTTACATTGCTATTGCAGATCCAGTTCCTTGTCCTCTTCACATTTTTTGGTTATTAGTACTCCCAAACACTTACATTCATTTACCTCTTCAAATTCATATATCTTGTTAGTCCCCACTTGCTTGCTTGCTCGTTGTACCCAGTATATCTGGTCAATGTCCCATTTAAGTCGCATGTCCCGGGACGTGTGGAGGATATTCTTAGGATATACGTTAGCGTATATACAAAGGATATACTGAAAAATACATCCCAGGGATATCCTCTGAAAGGATGGCTTGGATACTGGGATAGAATGGTTGTAGTCGTACATTACCTTTCCAGTATTTCTCATAGGCTGTTGGAAATAACCTAATAATTAAGTAAGGTCCACTGGAATATCTATACAAGGTCCTATATCCTCACAGTCGGATATACTAACGACGTATCAACTAGTATAACTGGATATTCTTAGTATGTCCTAACAAACAATTACCAATAAATAACATCGTATGTCCTTGAGACGTCTTAAGGATATCCCGAGGACGTTTGACGCACGTCCTTGTGTTAATTGGGCAATAATCATTCCAAGTGTTCTTCCATTCTGTTCTTTCATAATATATAATTTTTCTAACCCATTTTATCCCCCTTTTTAAAAATTGGTTTTATTATCGCCTGACTCCAATCCATTACTTTTTACTTACCCTTTGAGGTAATGAGGATTTGTAAACCTTAGACACGGTTACGGATATTTCCTTCTTGGATTTAGAGGGATTTTTAAATCTTGGCAGTCACGCATCAGACCCGTAATGTTAGAGCGCCGAAGCGAGGCCATTATCGTCTAAATGCGCCGGATCGCGTAAAAATTAAGTCTCGATGGTGCGCTAGAGATTTGTTGGCCTTCGGGGGTTACAATTTTGATTAATACCTCTGGCATCGGTGTGATCCATTAGGGTCACGTAATTTCCGCATTTCTGCCGAAGAAATTACTCTGAACTGCACTGCACTGCAATTTCATATACGGGGTGTTATCGATATAGCGCCGCATAACTTAATGAGCGAATTTAGACCCCACCCCGATGACGAATTGATATTCTATTCGGTTCAATTCTGATGCGAGAACCGCATTCGCTACGCCCTCTAGTGTCTGGGGGAATCAGCAAAAATGGCGGAATTTAAATAATTATAATATACAGTGTGTCCCATTTAAGAACTGTACATCCTGGTAAAATTTTGTTTATGGTTCGATTTTGATAATTTTTTTTATTGGATAGATCTCTCAAAAACGCGCTATACCTTATGTTTCTTATTACGTCAATCTGAAGTCATGGCTAACTGGGAATAATTTTTTTGATAATTCTTTTGTTGGACAGATTTCACTGAAAGATACTAACGATTTCCTTTAAAATACATATGATCAGAGAGGATTACATATGAACTAAACAGACTTTACGCCGCTGTATTTTCTTACTTAAAACGGATTTTTAATTCTCATCTAGTAATAAAAATAACACATATGACATTGGCATACTGTTTCGACAGTCAATTCTGTTTCCATCTTTCGACTACTAACATTTATTAATGCTGTTGTTTTTAGACGATACTAAAAAGTGTTTTTTATTATTATTTTTAAATTTTGTATAATTAAAATTTGTAAGATCTTAAAATCACACACAAAATAATCGTTATTTACAAGGTTTACAATATTTTTTTAAACATTAAAAATTTTGGTCATTGGTCTACTTTTTCTAGGTAGTCCTGAACACGAATCTGTTGTTATATTCAATTTGAAGAAATCTCTCAAGGTACTTCAAAAACTGTATCAGTTAGCCAGTCGATGTTATACGAAAAACAGTTTCATTTTTCTTTACTAAGATCTATGCAGCAAAAAACAATTATCAAAATTGAGCCATAAACAAACATTCTGTATTCAAACTTCATGGAAATTAGTATAGTTAAATTTTATATAGTCCGCTTTATTCTTGAAGAAATCCCTAATAGCCCTTCTCGATATTAGTTCCAGTTAGCCATTAAATAATCTCAATTAGTCATGACTTTAAGTTGAAGCAATAAGAAAAATCAGGTTTTAGTGCATTTTTCAGAGATCTATCCAACAAAAAAAAATCGAAATTGAACACACTGTATAATAAAATGCAAATATAACATAAGCACAATTTTCAATATTTCATATTATGATTTTTTTTTTCAAATATTTTTGATTAGTTAGTTAGTTAGATTAGACACCAGATGCTTGTTTCACGAGGCTAGGGATTTAAAAATGAAAGGCTATAGGTGTGTGGTGTAGCGGTGAAAATGTCCTAAAGCCACAAAGCATTAATGACATTACCACAATGTATATAAAATTAAAAAAGATTTGTTTATCCTGATGACATTTGAGTTTTTCGATAACATTAATATTGATGATCAAATTGCTACGACGTAGAAAAATTTAATTACGAAATAAGTAATAATTTAAAGAATTTTAGTATACATCTAAACATTAGAGGTGTTAAGTCGAATCTGGATAGGTTTTTGGTTTTTCTTCAGATATAATCGTGGACACTGTAATATATTAATTTTAACAGAATGTCATAATACATATTTAATTGCTAACTTCAACCGGTGGAATTAGTATATCTAATTTAATTGTAATCATCGATAAAGATGTACAGAAACTATAGGAGATGGAGCCAAAAGTTAAATACAAAATTTAGTTGGAGTATTACAAACCCTCAATTTATTTCCACGTTGTATAACAAAACATTCTCAAATTTACAAAATATTAATAAGGGAAAATAATTCTTCATAACTGGGAAATAGGTTTTGAACTAGATGTATTTAACTTACATTATTTTTGAAATATCTTTTTCTCCAAAATTTAAAAACGGATGTGTTATTTAATCCCGCAAATCAAATACTTTTATTTAAAACGAAATTAATAAAAGAAATCTATCATGAAGTGTAGAAACTACTTATCAAATCAAAAACAAAGACACTAAAGGGTTACGTTCGTAAGAAAATTCATCGAAATGGCTAGAACAGACTCTGGCAGTTTTTACGTTAATTGGGTCTGTCCGTTTGGAAGCCATAACCCAACACTTTTGAATATTTTCCTGATTAGGGAATCGAAACAGCTTCAAATCGCTTGAAACATGTTTTAACCTGTTATCAATGGTACAGCCGTCCACAGAACAGAAAAATAATTAATCCAAACCACAAAAAAGCACTGAAATTCTACGAAAACCGAAAAACACAGCACAAACAATGAGATTTGGTTAGGAATCCCTCCAAATCAAGCTCCGCCTGACGTCAGTCACGTGACCCGTTGGTTCCGCCTACATGCGTAATGTCATATTTTTGTTGTATCATGGGTCTTAACCATGATTCGCTTTTTTTATGGTAATCACTTTAAAGGGAGAGTGTTGGGGTTTCTAAAACACCATTCACATCGCAATCGCAATCAAGTTAAATTTTGAGCTCAAAGTTAAGCAGACATTATTAAAAGGCATGGCGAATAACCTGCTCTCCAACTCGTCGAACGTCAGCGTGTGGTCATCGATAAACACATCCTTTTTGAACTCTTCCAAGTCCTTTTCGGTCCTTACTTTCTTCACCGGCCTGAGGTAATGGACGCCGGTGCTGCTCAGGCTCACTACGGACGTCACCCTGCCCCTGCTCCTGAGAGTCGCCAGCGACGGACTCGACTTGCTCATTTTCGCTTTCGAGACTTGTCAAATTGACGCGACTTCCGAAACTAACAAATAAATTTTTTTTGGCGGTTATGCCAGAAAACGCCACCTGGTGGTAAGGTAAGCAACCGCAATCGCGTCACCTACGGATTCATGCCTAGGAAAAGTCCTTTTGAAGGACTCCAAGTTTATTAACCCCGATAGCACACAATATCCCCAGTATATCCGGTCGCATGTCCCGGGAGATGTGGAGGATATTCTTAGGATACATGTTAGCATATATATTAAGGATATACTGTAAAATACATCTCAATGGATAGCTTGCGGATTCATTGTACACGATGATATACTACAGATGAGGATATCCTCTTAACCCATAATGGGACAATTAGAATGGAAACCTGAAAAGCTAAATTTTAAACAACTGAGAAGGAAAATACTTAGTTACATCGACGTCACTGTTGGCAAGTCCTAAGAAAAACCGAATCAAACCGTTAAAATCAACTTTTTTTTTTTTGACACGAACGAGACAAGAAACGCTATTTTAATAAAAATGCCACAGAAAATACGGTTCCATCTAACACTGTTCGGCTGCAACCAATGACGCAACTACTCGCGGTCGTGCCGCGCCGGACTCGCTCGAGTCTCGTCCGCTTCTCCGCCGTCTCGTCGTTCGCCATCTTTTCCGCCTTGTTTTTGCTGGCGGTATAAGGTATACAGCGTCTATTTTGAGTATTTGGGTGCTGTGCTTACCACTGTCAGTACTTTCATTTCAGTTATTTTTTTCTGCTATTATTATTACTGAAGAAATAATAATAATTGTAAATAATATATAACATATGATTTGATAAACTCTAAGCTGAACGAACCATTGTTGTGTAGTCTACCATTATGCCTTGTTTTTTATCATAATAATAGCACTTTTATTTCCAACAGGTAACATGACCCAATTACAGGAAATATTAAATATAAATCAACGTAGAAACTAATCTTAAATCTACTAATCTTATAACTAAAAAAAATGAAGAAGGATAGAATGATAAAGAGAAAGAAAAGGATAAGACTTATCGGTACGCATAACCCGACGCCATTCGAAGTTGCTGAAGTATGGCCTGGAGACCACCATAATATAAATCGCAGTACGATGATAGTTTGTTGAAGGTAGCACCACACATATTGTAAATAGGGTTTTGAAAATGGATATTGGACCTGGGTAACTGCGGTAAGAAAGTTGATCGATGTCTCCCTTCCAGCCGCGGCACATAAAAAAGTAATTGTTCCAGAAGAAACGGACAATCGACTCCGTAATGAACTAACTTATAGAGAAATGAAACAGATTGCAAGTCTCTGCGCAAGCTCAGGGGCAGTATAGCGAACCTTCTTAGTAGAAGATCGTGATCAACTGCCCTCTCAGGATAGGAACCGTCCTCCCTGAACATTAGATACTTTAGTAACCTTTTCTGCACACTCTCAATGGACTGAGTGTGGCACTTATAAATTGGTGACCATATCAGCGAGCCATAGTCAAGCTTTAACAGTAGCTGAGCTACAAAAATGCCTGCAATTTCTTATTACGAATCCTAAAATTTGCATTGCACTGGAAACCATTTTTGTAATGTGAGGTAGAAAAGAGAACGACTGGTCAAATAAAATCCCCAGATCCTTCACAGTAGCAAGTCTAGTCAGGACAGTACCATCCATATTGTAATTAAAGACTATAGGAGTTTTTGTGCGGTGGTAAGAAACCACATTACACTTGCTGATGTTAAGATGCAATTTATTTTTATTACGCCATTGACTGACAATATTGATGTTGTCCTGGAGAGTCATGCAGTCCATGCCAGTTTCAATGCTCTCGTATAGCTTTAGGTCATCCGCATAGGCAAGCTTGTTGCAGATGATCGAAGATACGAGATCATCTATAAATATATTGAAAAGCAGAGGCCTAAGGTTAGAACCTTGAGGCACTCCAGAAGTTGGAACAAAAGGAACTGATCTAAACCCCTCAATCTCAACAAACTGTCGACGATTCACCAAATAGGACCTCAACACCGTAATCAGCGAATCAAAGAAACCAAGTTTATGAGATGCTTTTTCAATCAGTAAGTGATGATCTATCTGGTCAAATGCTTTGTGGAAGTCAGTGTATATAACGTCAACTTGACCTTGCTTGTTCAGAGAGTCACAGACATACGAAGACAGGGAGCATAAGTTAGTGATACATGATCTTTTCGCATAAAAACCATGTTGTTGCGTAGATAGTTTATTTCTAATTTGAGCAAAAATAAATTTATTTAATATAATCTCGAATATTTTAGAAAAATTGCACAAGATCGAAATAGGCCGGTAGTTTTCAACAACAGAGGGATAACCTTTTTTGAGAATAGGATAAACTTTGACATATTTCCAAGGCTCTGGATAAACACCCGTCTCAAGTATCAGGTTAAAAACGTGACATAAAGGAGCACACAGTGCGTGGGAACAGTCTCTCACGATAAAACTTGGTATGCCATCAGGACCAGCGGTAATTTTGTTCTTGAGTGCTTTGCTTGCTGACAAGACATCCTGGATAGTAAGCTTAGGTATGTTCACTAGTTCCGGAACGTGGACCTGACTAGGATATGGTGTAAACGCAACCAAAGTACTTAGCAAAAGCTGCAACAACCATATTAGGCCCTTGGCATGGCTGACTAGAATAGGACATCGAGGCTGGGATTCGCGAGTCTGCCTTCTTCCGCTGAATAAATGACCAGAAATTGGTAGGACTATCATGTATACTTAACTCAGCACGACGAAGATAATCAGTATAGGCAATGCGTGACTGGAACTTGATTGACTTGCGTAGCGCGGTATATCGGCCAAAATAATGTCGTAAAAAAGTGTTAGAGCCCTGTCGACATCCGAGCACTCCATAACACTATTCCAGTCTGCATGCTGCATCAGTTCATACATATGAGGATAGCTGGCCTTCCTAAAGTTAAATTCGGTTTGATCATTCCTATTGATTGGAAAATTAGAGACGTGTGGAAAAGAGAGTTGGAGAGAAACTATTAACGAGGGATGGTGTGGATCCTCGTCGATAAGTGCGTTTCTCACTATCGCAACGTCGAAATTGGCAAAAACGAGATCTAAGCAACGGTGATTTAGGTTAGTTACAGAGTTATGCTGTTTAATATTCAATATGGCGCTGAGGTTGAGTAGGGATCTATGTCGGATATTGATAGGAGCTGAAACAGTGAAAGAAGGAATATTGAAGTCACCCAATAACAAGACAGATCCGCCAAACAACAACTCCAGCGACGACAAAGATTCAAAAAAGTTCTCAACTTCGAAGTTGGCAGCAGTGGGAGGAATGTATACTAAAAATACATAAAATACAAAGTAATCTAAAGAGATCTTACAGCCTAAAAAGCCTAAGAAATATTGCTAGGTCAATGAGATAGCAAGATCAGGCGACGGCGACAGTTATGAGTTTGTAAAACAAGCTCTGAACCCGCTGATTTTAAATGAACTTGCAATGAAATTTAATATGGCATGAAGAAAAAGGAGAAATTTTCACAATTAAAATTGCCCAAATTAATACTTGGTAAGTAGGTATTATTTGTTTTAAAAATAAATAGAACGTAAATAATAAAAATAAGTAAAGTATAAGAAATATAATTTAATAAAATATATATTATGTTGATGGCTTACTTGTTACTTTTTAAGTTAAACTGACTTTTTTAGATTACATAGCTTTTTTGATTCTCTAGACTTCTTTTCGTATCTTATTGCTTAGTTTTTGAAAACAAAAATAAAAACCACTTTCTCTTCATGTTTTTTGAACGGTTAAATTTAAGTTACTATATTTTTTTCTTAAAATCGATGCCCGAATCACCCCGCAAAAACAAAGTATTAATTTTAGGAATCACCCTTCATAAAGTACAATTTTGAGCAAAAAAAAACTGGGAAAATTTTTAGGTTTACAAAAAAATTGTTGCGTAAAAATAGGTCCTTACTGTCAAACTGAAAAATCATATTTGTTCTAGTTTTTTTTTGCTCGCGATAGGACCTACTCTCATGAAAGAGATCTTACCGATGAGAGTTTAATGAGGTTTGTATTTAACGAAATGAAATACATAAATGTATACCCACATCATCGTGGAGATTAGCATCTAAGATCACGTTCATGAGACTACTATCAGCGTCGAATCAAGGCTTTACTTAAAAAGCAGATGTACGGATTTTTCAAATCTGTTCTTTGAGCATATAAAATACCAGTCTCGTTCTTTTTATTTTTTTTTTATAAGGAACAAATATATAAAACCTCTCTTTCTCAATACCAAAATATTTTCAGATACGGATAAGAAGACAAACACATCAAAAACATCAAAAGAACGTGAGAATTCAATAGCTGCTTGGCTAAAAAGAGCTACTCTCAAAAAAGAACGACAGTTCTATTTAAAAAAGCCACATTCGTCTAATACCGTAAGCTCTTATTAGGACACCCAGTATATTAAATGAGAGTATACGCGATCACTTAAAGAAACCCGTGTGTAAATGAGGGCCCCATTTTTTCGTCGGCGTGTCGTGAATTGCCAGCAATTTGCAATACGTGCGACTTAGCATGTTAATGCGTCGTCGAACCCGCAAATTTTCGTCTTCTTCTTCTTCTTCTTTGCGGGCCGCGCGCGCGATTGAAAATTACAGCCTCGAACACTACTCTCTTCTATTTGCGCGCGATATTTCCCATTAAAACTTTAATCTATGGAGCACGTCGGTGCAATTAACGTATGCTGGACATTTCGAATGAAAAGTAGAAAGGTAGTTTAAATTAGAGCATAGTTGTGTTTCATTGTTTATTTTAAAATTTACAAAAAATCTACGTTATCGGTTATATTTTTTCCATGTCGGAAAATTTTTCTTATGGACGCCATATTGGATTTTAGCAATTTACGAGATTTTATTGATGATGAGATATTATCGGATTTACCTGATTTTGCCTAAACGGAAGTTGGTTATTTTTTCCTGGTGTCATTGAGACTAACCTAATCCATAGAAAAATAACTTGATGAACCAATATGGCGCCTGCGGTTTGGTGGAAGTATTAAACGAATTTTAAATGGTTAAAAATTACAAAAAAATATTCCTAATAAAAAAACAACTTAAAATTGAATAAAACGAATCAAAATCTTCAATTAGAATAACTTTATTAGACCGGCATACTGGACAGAATCCAGAAAAAAAAATGACAAATATTACATGTGTCCGAAATTTCAATCTATATTTCGAAATTCCATAAACTTTTATAATTTTCAAAAATGTATGCCCGGTATTCACAAAATAGTGGTAATTGATCATAACTAGAAGGCTGTGTTTTTCAATTATGAACAAAAATCTAAAAGACCCTGAAAATTATTCTTTTCGGGAATAAATTATTAGCCATTAATGAAAATTCATAAAAAATATTACTAATTGGTTAAAACAGTATTGTAGACCGCATCAAGGGCTATAATATTTGAATTTTTGCATAAGAGATATTTGAAAAAATCCATACGAAAATCGTTTTTTCTCGCACTCATTGACTATTACTACGACTATAATGCATTGTTTCAGAAAAAAAATCTTAAAAACCTCTACTTTTGGCATTTTTTCAATTATGTACAGGACCAAACATCTAAAAGATCCTGGAAATTGAGAAACTGTAAAAGATGGGATAATTTGGTTTAAATGGTATCGTAAACTGTATCGAGAGCTACAATTTTCTGATTTACAGTTCTGGTCTATTATACAGGATGCGTACAATTTTTTATATTTACCATAAAGTTCCGTAGTGGTTCCCAGGAGCACGACAAAAAAACAATGAACTCTAAAATAACAAAGGGATGTACAAAGACAACAAACAAGATTGCGAAAGCAATCATATTGCTTTCTCGTTTGCCCCAAGATGGTTTTGCAGCGAAATGAAGCAAAAACGCGAAAAAGTTGCAAAAAAGCAATAAATAGACAGAAAATCGCGAGCACAAATCGCAAAGCGGCGCCAACACAAGTAAAAGTGAAAGAAATAAACACTTTTATAGAAATGGTCACAAAAAACCTAGACAAGCTTTCGTCAAATAGGGCGGTATCTAGCGTTAACCCACATAACAATTGTACGTTCTTAGTATGTACCAAGAATACCCTGCTTTAGAAAAAGCATATACTTAGATTGTCCCTTATTTCAATTGCGCAGTTTTTAGAATATGTATATGTTACTGACCCCCAACTTCATATTCTAGTTACCTACCACGGTATATGCTGCAGAATGTATGTAGTATAATTATTATGTTCCTAGTATAAGTCACTATAAAGTACATAGTATATTCCAGGTATTTTATTGGAATGGGCATAAGGGTATTGTCTTCTAGTATTGTTACATTGCATTATTTGGCAAAGACAAGAAAAGCTTCTAAAAACAAAACTTTATTTTAATTAAACAAATTTCCCACAAAATACATATCTCATATCAATTTGTAAGCATATTTTTTTCTTTTCTTGAAATTATTTAAATATCTTTTCTCTAATAGGAATTTTTGATACATTTTTTTTACATTATGTTCCAATGAATATCATTCTACATCAGCTTCAAATCGTCGTGTCTTTCAGAACTTTCAGACTTTTGATCCGAATGTGAGACTAAAAACCCGGCAATCCTAAAATGTTTTTACCTATTTTTAAACGACACACTAAAACCTTCTTTACGACGCTTTGCAGGCATACTTTTTCTATAACCTAGAAGACTTTACTTACTTGAAAATGCGAACTTCAGACAAGCACAAACACTTAAAATACCAGAAAACACAAATGAAATGAAATTCGACGTGTGGAAGCGTTTCCCGCGCCCACGTTTCCGACAAAATTGAGGTTATGTCCATAAACGAACTATTATCATTATGTTGGTTAGTTGTTATGCCTCAACTTACATAGATAAAATTAGGGATAGCGATAAGGGCGCAGATTTTAGTTTTCAGTTTGTTAAGTTATTATAAAATATGTAAAATTTTAACATTTTAAATTTAGTTCTCTTAAAATGAATATGAAATTTTAGTAATGGTTCATTTCAATTATTGTCGAAAGAAAATGGCTCGACAGTACGTGGCTATCCTCTCCCAAATGCATTTCCATAAAATTAAATATGCTAAAAATCTACTCTAAAGAATATTTTAAGTAGAACATTTGGAAATATTCTTAAAAGTATATTCATAGCGCATACTTTAAAGTACAAATTTAAAAAATTCTTAGAGGTATATTCAGAGCGCATACTTTAAAGAATATTCTTTTCTCGTATATTAAAAGAATGTATTTCGCATGTTCCAAGACGTACGCACGGAAAAGTATTGCTGTATATGCGCAGTATATGTAACATATATTGATGCTATGCGGGAAATGTCGACCAAAATTCTCAATGAACCAAACGTATTTTCATGTGTTACGCTGAATTCTGCTGGCTTACTATCGTCTATAAAGCTTCTGGCTCGTCCGCTGTATTATAATCTCCGCCCATCGGGAGTCGGAAAAATACTAAAACCACCGTTAGGACGGACCTGTTTGTACGATTCATGAAGTCCGGGTTAAAAGGATGGGATAGGCGGGACGCAGTGGCGCGCACGGGATATTTTCACATCTTCCTATTCATTTTTCAGGATTTGTCAGCGCATGTGCGTGTTTTGACCTATCGACCTATTAATTCTTAGGAAAAAAAAACACTTTTCAGAAAGTATTGTTTATTAGTAATTAATTATTGTGAATAATTATGTAGAATTGAGAATGGGAAAGATACATTTCGTACACGTCTGGATCAAAACCCCCGACGCGGCGCACCTGACTAGTCTTGCGGTAACGGCGATATAACGTGGAAACGTAACTCAATTTGCGATGTGGTTAATATAAAGACTTATTTGGTGTTCGTTTCCTTGCAAGCGCCAATTTGGCATGGGAACGCAACGGTATTCGTTCTCGCAGTATTCAAGTTCGCGTGTATATACAGTGTGCAGCTTTGTAATCGGTAAAAATAGCAATATTAATACTTGATTCGATCCGCAGACACAAAATCAAAACCGCTGCCAACGTTCTGAGCCCCAACTTTCTAGTTTATTTCTATTTCTGATTTTCGTTAACGGCGAACACGACAACTACGTTTCCCGAAGGCGATGCCAATATTTACCCGTCGAAGTCATTTCCTCTGGCCGCGCCAATGAAATTTATAGACTCTTTCTTATTTTCCGGACGTAAATTGGGTCGGCAGACGGAACCGTCAATATTTACGTCGAGTTTCCTACGTGAAACCGCGCTTCTCGCCACTAGTAAATCAAACATTACGAGAATTTGTCATTTATACAATTTCTTCTTCGTAATGAAAAAGCGACGATATTCTGTATGAAGAATATATACCGTGACGAAATAGGGCGGGTGCCTTTCGCGATGTAGGCAACAAAAATTAAAAAAGAAGAAGAGAACATAACCAAACATTGCATTCGGTGGTGGTTTTTAAGGTAAAATGTGCAAAGTATTTCGATCTCGGGTGTGTATCTTGTCGAATTATCGGCCGTGCGGAGAACCGGTTTTGTTTCTGCGATTTGTTTTGGGCGTTTTTTTTTAATCAAAAAGATAAACCTGACGAAAAATGAAAGCGTTCGATTCGCCATTGTCCTAACAACGTGCTGCGGCGTCGAAAGAAGCGGAGGTTTCTCGGAATTCATAACTACTGGGCCATGGGTGGGTAAAAGTGTTTTAGGTATTCTTTTCCGCTACTGATTGTAGATTTTGCGCTAATCGAATGTTCGGGAGCGAGACGCGAATGATTGCGTAGGAATTTCCTAGGCAAAGCGCCTATTACACATAAACGTATTATCCGGAGCTTCGATTAAGATCTGTATCGCGGTTAAGTGGGCCCGCGAGAAAACTGTGCGTAATTTTGTCGCAACGACCCGCGGCGCTTCGATCGGCCGCATTTTTTTCGATTAAAATAGTTTCGAGGCGGCCGGAGGCGTTGCGATACGATCGGAAAATCACTCCGCGGGCAAAAACTAACGACCCAGCTGCTCACGCATACGCGATACGTTAGAGGAACTCAATCCACGTGTAAAATTCAAACTTCCAACGCGGCTGTAACTGGACCGAACGCGCCAATAACGTATAAATAGAAACGCGTTAAACGCGGATCCCGATTCGGCGTTTTTTTTTCTACGCGGAAATGCACTCGTCAGCTGTCATCGGGACTCGACGTCGAGTTGGCCGTGCGTGACCGCGGATGACATGTACTTACGAAGAAGAAACCGGAAATACGTAACCAAAGTATCGCGACCGATCGCGCCCGAGCGTAGAAGAATAAAAACGAATCCCGCATATCGCGAATTAGTCACGTGAAGAATGTGCATTTTACTAAAGTGTGTCCACCGTTTGTTCGCCCGAGGCCGCGCGCCGCTTGACACCGCGAGGCGCAAGAAGTTCACGCGAGGTCACGCCCGTAAGAGAGATTTACATATCGTGCGGACTAGAGACGCGACTCTTCTCCGAAGCCTACAATTTTAATACGCTTTAATGTTGCTTCTAATATAAACCTGATAAACCTATCGAAAGTTATGAATCAGTTATGAAACCGGACCGAAGTTTGAATCGGTCTAGTAGGCGACGCCATCAGCTCTCGTAGCGGATTTATTTTGCGTAGTAGTCCGTCCCTGCCCTTTTTCCCGTGTGCAGTCGTCACGTCCATTTCATATCGTTAATATGGGTATGTTTTATTGAGTTAATTCCTTCGGATGGTTGGTTACATTCAGTCGATCGTCGTGTAAAGCGCCACGGGAACTGCAACGCAATTTGCATAACGCACTTGCAATCAGGCATCGTAGAGGAAAGGAACAAATAAAAATCGTCGTACCATTGTATTTTTAATATTCGTGCAGGTGCGTATGCGTGATTGCGTATATTCTCTGCCATATATACCTCTCTCTCTCTCTCTCACTCTCAAACCCGAACCTGTCGTGTTTGTGTGATTGATAATTGCGGAGATTTTTAAAACACAAGTCCCTAGTTTCCATATTACAACATGGCCGTATCGATGACCCATTAATAACACCGTCGGCTTACATTAGCGGCGCCCGCTGTCGTTCCGGATAGAGCCATTAGCATTTTTATTGAAACAGCCGTACGAGAAACATGTCCGCGACAAACCGACTTCACTTATCGCGTTACGGACGGGTTCCCCGACTTAAAATATGCCCGTACATCGGCATACACTGCGCTAACATTTGCTTTGAGCAAAAGCAAACAGAAAGGTAAACAGACTTTATTACACGCCCGCGGCGCAGGACCGGACGCGACGAACAATTTACTAGCGACAAGGAGTTTTTACCTAAAGATATCGAAAATGTTACCATCTACCGAGGAATCCGCGAAGTATAGGCTTTGACTTTAACCTAATAGATGGAGCCACATGTATATTTTGCTTTCTGAATATTTAAAACCTTCAAAGCAACTAACTGAAACTAACGACGGTTTAGCAACCTCCACTCGCTCACGACAAAATCCCTTGTAATCGTCCCCAAAAACTTGAACCCGGTTTCCATTGTATAGGTTTAATGTTTTAAGTGTTTGATCCAAGCAGTCTTGGCCAATAGAAGTAAAAGAAGAAGAAGAACCAAAACTAACCTTGGTATACTTTGTTTCAAAGCATACTTATTGTTAGCCAGCTGCTATTTCGTTTTCGTTTTCTATTCCGCTATTTTATATATTCATTAAACAATATTTGACACGGATAGGAGAGTTCCCATAATATCGTTGTTGTTTTCCCATACTCCATTTTCTTTAAGAACAAATTATTCTTCACTAAAGGACGCAGATTGGAAGAGTCGCGAATAATGATGCTGGAAATAAATGCCGTGATTTTTCGCATTGGAAAGTATATGCCGCCATATTTACAAGCGATAATAATCTCGGGCGTTAGTTTATCTACGTTCCCCATCACGTCATTGTCCGCTGATTAGTTTGAGGAGAAAAAAATAGACAATTACTGCCGCGGCCGCGCCCTTTCTCGCCGTAAACCGTATGCATTAGCATTAATGGCAATCCGCGGCCACTGAGATGGCGCTTAACTTGCGATTCTGTCTTGCGTTGTACCGTTAACACGACGGAAACGAACACGGTCTTTTATCTTGGCTCCAGACGTGCAAATTAGACGTTTCCTCTGAAACTCGCAAACAAGCGAAGAAAATCACCAACCCTAACGTTTATTTTTGTTAGTTTTACTGTTTACCACCACAGACAATAAATCGGTAAGGTCCGTGACACAAAGGCGTTCTTGTTTCAGGTGTTCCGTCGTCACGATCATCCTTTTGATCTTCTTGATGGACCGACTGGAAAGCAGACCCCAATCGTTTAATAAAAACCACGAGCTCCTCGTGAATTTAGGCCTGCAGAAGATTCGCAGCCCAAATACGCACCACAGAAAAAGACTGGCGGTCGAGTCGAGGCATCACATACGTCCCGACGATTCTCACATGTTTATCATCAAGCTGCCTCCCAATCCGCACTACTACGCGTTTAATCAGCCGGATCGCGTTCTACCGGACGCGAAAAAGATACCGGTCGGGTTTAAAAGTAACGGCAAACCGGGCAAGATTTACCACTGGAACATTCCGGTGATCAAGCAGTACGTCGCTCACAAACAAAAATCGAGGACGAACGACGTCGATCTGGACAATCCGGAGACATGGAACGAAGTCCTCGACAAACCGGTCAACCCGCACAAGAAACCGCTAAAGCCGAGCTACTACGTACCCCAGAAACCGAAAAAGTCGAGTTTTACGAAATATTTTCCGGGAAACGGAAAACCGTCCTCGCTCTACGTGATTCAGAAAAATAAACGGGCTCATTATCATCGACTGTTACCGTAGAGCAGTATTTTTTGTGGTTATTTGCGGTACGAGACTGTGCAATACAATCGTAAGTTTTTTTTTATTCGTAAGTAACGCGTAAGTTAGACTGATATATAGAAACCAATATAGAACTGTATTTAAGTCATCGTTTTTATAATAAATGTATATTTAATTGGTTGGGTTGGTTTTATTAGTCCACCATGGGTCATAAATAAGTCCTATCTGTGATCATTGTCGAAACAATTAAAATTAAGTTCTATGCCTACGAGAGGTTATTCAATGTGGGCCACAGATTACCGATATCGAGCGCCTTTACGCTATTGCCTCAGAACATTAAAGAAGAAGAGAAGTATAATCTATGGGCAACTAGGGATTGTACATAAACAGCAAAATTAACCTTGCCGAAGTTCCTGATCGTTATTAGTTTCTTTAAAACTGAAAAACCCGGTAAAAAAAGCCTTAGCATTCTGTAATGGCAGTTTATTCAGGGGATCCAGGGGATAACAAACTTTTCAACTGAATATCAAACAAGAATATATTAAAAATCTGAACAAACAAAACCTTATTTTAACCGGTGATGCCATTCTAAATACATTAACAAATGAGGAATCATATCCTCAACAAGTCTGCAACACTCGCCCTTGATATAATCCAACTTTTCCTGGGATCCAGACATCTGAGAAAGAGGCTCTTGATTTAAGTCAACAATGGCATCCATTAAATAAAACAATTCATCTTCATTGAATGTTTCTTGATTGTCAGCTTTAACCCACAATTCTAGGGTTAGCTGTAGGTAAGGCCGCTGAGATATTTTCAAAAAGTGCTCGAAAATAGCGCGACAGTTCGGGTCCTCGAGGCAGTTCTTTGCGTCTTTGAATGACTCCATTTGTTCGGCATTAAATTTTATATTTTCAAATCTATATCCACTGTCAGCCATTATGAAATACTGGTAAACCGTGAGTCACTATCCTATGCGAATTTTGCGTTTTTGAGAGGCTGCTTATCAATGTAAAGATAAGATAATCCCAATATTTGGAGATACTCTCAGAAGCTTTTTTTCTTTTAAACTACATCACGGAAAACGTAAATTTCTATAATCTACTCACGTCAAACAAGTGTACATCAAAAATCTTTGGGAAACTCAACAAAACTAGCAGGAACGGTGATTTTTCCTTAAGTAGTCTATAAAGTGAGGCAGAACCCTCTCCAAAATTCTACAACACTCGCCTTCGACGTATTCCAACTTCTGCTGGCATTCGGAAACCGTCAAAAGGGGATTTTGATTGAAGTCGCTGATGTCATCGATTAAATCAAATAGTTCATCTTCATTGAACACTTTTTGGTCGTGTGCTTTGACCCACAAGTCGAATGTTTTTTGTAAATACGGTTGTTTCGAAACTTTCAAATAGTGATGCAAAATAATACGACAATTCGGATCTTCTAGGCAATTTTTTATTCTGTCATTGAACCTCTCAATTTGTTGAATACTAAATTTGACGGTTGCCATTGGAAAATTCACCTAAGTGAAATATGTAAATATCAACTTACATCAAATCATATTAGAAATACGTATTATGATAACAAAAACAAATTTTACCAAGAAACTTACATTTTAATATACAGATTGCAATCCACGTTTCCATCCCACCTCTACTTCGTCATTTATGTACAACACAATATCTTATCGAATGCCGCACCGTAAATACCAAATTGAAGTACCAAAACCAAAATATTTACAGATGTTTATACATTTCTTTTAAGTAATTCGAAAAAATACCTAAAATTAGATCACAGATAAATTCAATTCAATTCAATTATGCGTTTCACAATAAATGTTGGGCTCGACTGCTAGGATCATTCGCCGACTTCCGTCGAGGATTTTCGTTTCTGGCATATGACCAACATGTACAAAAAAGAAAAATAACCAATAATTTGCTCAGCTAGCAAAAAACGATTCTGACCGATACCAAAAAAAATCGGCTTCCCCCCGCTTCCGCCGCGGACCATCCGGGCCCATCCGGCCTCCATACCGGCGTGAACGGGGAAAAACGACGGGGCCGACGACAATTATCACTTTAAAACATGCACTGAACACTAAAAACACTAAGTCCACCACAGAATCCATCACAGATAAAATTATGATGATTAGTATTAGCCCTCAGCTTTTTGCTCATCTATTGGCCTCGACTCGAACAACCTTACATTACATTCTCTTCTTCTTAAATTAATAAAGTCTTCTGATATGTAAGCCTAGTTTAAATTTTATCTCGTTTGCTAGACCATTGAATTAAAGAAGAAGAATTATTTGTTTATGCGGCAAAACAGAAAAATGTGACAAGATGGTGTTTCACGGTTAAGAATGTTTTCGACGCTCACGTAGACGACAAACCGTTTAAAAAAATGACGACATCGGAGCAAATAGGCTTAAACAAATCATGGGAGCTGTCGCTCTATGAGCTGCATCGAACCCCACAGGAACCCATCACTGACAATACGGAGATAGCGGTATCCCCCAGAAGCCTTCACAGCGAATTAATGTGCCCCATTTGCCTCGATATGCTTAAAAAAACGATGACAACCAAAGAATGCCTCCATAGATTTTGCTCCGAATGTATAATAACCGCCCTAAGGTCAGGGAATAAAGAATGTCCCACGTGTCGAAAAAAACTGGTGTCAAAACGGTCATTGCGCGCCGATCCAAATTTTGATTTGTTAATTTCGAAAATCTATCCGAGCAGAGACGAGTATGAGGCGCATCAGGAAAGAGTTCTCGCGAAGTTGAATAAGAGTCACTCAAGGGAAGCATTTGTGCAGTCTATAAATGAGGGCATCAAGTTGCAGAGTCAAAATAGGGTTCCGAGGGGACGGAAAAATAACGAAACCGTGACTAGCGAATCTCAGAATGAAAACGCGAATGTCACAAATGCTCCGGCTTCTAGTGAAAATAATGTAAGTATTCACGGTAGTGTTGAAATTGGGTTTCATCCTTATATTGACTTCAGGCTCCAACGCCGCCTAATAATTCGACCAACACGAGTAATCAACCTGCTCCCAACGCAACACCAACCAATCAAACAGCTCCCCAAACTAATAACAACCCAGGCAGTCCCGCGCCTTCAGGAAGAAGTACTCCTTCTCAACCTCCAAGTCCGGTGTCGTCGAGTGTGAGTTCCATTAGTAAGTCGTTGGGAAAGAGGCCGAAAAGTGTGTTGACGTCGGAAAGAAGTGAGGAAAGTGACTCCACGGAAAGGTAAGATTAATCTTATTGTACCAAGCACATCCATTTAGAGCATTTCTGGGATAGACTCATTCTAACCACAAAGGTGAACCTGCCATTTTTTGTGAGTTGTAGTTTGACTTTGTTTTTTTAACTTCTACCTTGTTAACTTGCCTTTCACATTTAGAAATGAAAAATTAAGTTTTGATCTCAGAACTATGTGGTATCGCATTTCGGTAACCAACGGGAATATATGGGCGATTTCTCCTCCGCTTCTTCGCCAGGGATGCTATCAGAGTTGAATGTATTTGAACATTTTATGCCACTACTGGAGGGATTCACCATAATATGTTGCTTATACCTTTTTCTGTCTAGTTTTTTGGGTTTTATTGGAATTTTTTTTAAAAGTTTTACTTTGTTAAAAAAAAGAATATGGAATTTTATGTATTAAACTAGGTTTTTTGTCAATGATGCATCTATGGGTTTTGGGAGTTTTTTTTTTATTGTAGGTGTACGTATATCAATAATATTTACAAAAACTTAACCTCCACTGTTGTCACTGCTTTTTACTTAGTTCTGAAGAGAAAATTAAAAGAAGAAGAAGAACCTAGTTAATTTAACTTTTCTAAAAATTTGTATTTACGGAATTTCTCGTCTTTGTTTGCCGCTTATCATTTAAAAAATGCTGGTGACCAAAATTTTTTTTACGATATAACTTATCGGCATAATATAGGACGGAGCAGACGGATACCGACGGCGAAGGGCCATCGGAACCAATGACCCTCAACGAGATCGAGTTAGTATTTAAGCCGCATCCTACGGAAATGTCTGGCGATAATGCCTTGGTCAAGGCACTGAAGGAGAACTCGATAAGGTTACTAAACCAAACTGGAGATCTTTTTCGGCATGTTTTTTTTTTTACTTATTTTACAGGTATATAAAAACGACTGCAAACGCGACAGTCGACCATCTTCACAAATATTTAGCGATGAGGTTGACTATCGATTTGGATTCTCAGCTTTCGACCACACACAATCTCTTGAACTTTTGTATATACATATCGCCGTCGACTGGTCAATATGTACAGTTGAATGGCAATCAAACGCTGGGCCAAGTAAACGACAAATATTGGAAGGTGAGGGGGAGTGGGGGGTATGATGACCGTTTCTCCGTGCGCTTTCCCCGTTTTGTTTTCTAGGTTAACAAACCATTGGAAATGTATTATTCGTGGAAGAAGACATAGGGAATGCGTAAGGGGGTTAAGAAAACTCCCGATATATAGGTTAAGTTTAGTTGTAGTTATTTATTATTGCCATTTCATGTTTTTTTTTAACAACTAACGCTGTCCCCTTCGTCCCCTTCTTGAGTATTATTAGACGATGGTGTTTAAGATTTACAAAAACTTTTTTAATCAAAAACCCTATAGAAACTAACAATTTCGGTAACGAGATAAAGGCGAGTCGCCATGTATTTTAATGTAAGACAGTGTATTTGTACATCGGAATATATTTCTGAACAAAATGATTGATTTTGAGTTATTTCAAAATTTGTGTGACCCTCAACGGTCCTCCGCAGTAAAGGTTAGGAGCAAAGAGTATATACCACCAATCCTGTCAAATTCGATTATAAATCAATGTTAAAAGTACAGAACGCCTTATACAGGGTGTTTTCCAATTGAATGTTAAAAATTAAGGCACAGTTTTGGGGTCAATTTTAAAAAGAAGACTTTATTTTAAAGTGAAAAATGTCACTTTTTAAAGGGTATCAGTTGTGTGCCACTGACCATCTGTGAAGAAATAATATTTTGGTTAAATGAGTCGCCACTGCATTGGTTAAATCGAGAACTTTTTTTGTATAAAGTAAAATATCTATCTAAAAGAAAATATCTAGTTTTTAGTTACCAAGTATTGTCCTTCATAAAAAATGTATATTGGAACACTGTTAATTTTACTTTTACCGTTTCAGTAAATTAACAAAAAATAATAATTATAAAGATTTAAAAAATTCACCAGAGTTTAGGTACTTCCTATTTGTACAGCGATTTATTGAAGTATTTTAATATAATTACTTTTAGACAATTACTTAAGTAAGAAATAATAATGGTAATCATATAAAGAGAAGAGGATTTTATTTTTTCAAGCGAAAACGGGACATCGGATTGAAAAAAAATCAAGAAATTGTATTTCCTTAGAAATTATTGGAAAATGCAAAAACAATTTTTATTATAAGAGAAATCAGTGGCGTACCATCAATGTCTGCCAAAATAGACATGTTAAATTCCGCACGGCCGCAATCGATGTAATTAAAAAAAAAAGTGGTACACTAAATAATGCATCTTGATACATAGAACATGCTTGCCAAATCTCATTAAAATATCGTATATTTTAATTTTTGAAAAATTTCCTCCCTCAAAAGTTAAGACATACGTTCATATGAAGTTTTTTTTCAAATGGACGCAAAAATCGATCCCTTAATTATTGACACTCGATTAGAAAAAACCCTGTATATTCTCTACCGGGATCAGGTCATTGTATTTTTATCGATACTCGTCATTATTTGATGGTGCGCACATCCAAATTATGTTATAGAACCGTCCTGTAGGATTCCGAGTACCACAGACCAGAGAAGTGTATGCTTTACTGTGGTCCATTCAGTGCATTGTTCATTTCTTGTGGAAGAGTAATGCAACATTCCCCGGCCGATCCTGCGGGTTTTAGTTAATTCCAGGAACATATTTTTGATGATTTAACGCAAAAATGTCAAAAATGGATACCCTCTTCACAGTTTGTAGAATTTTGCTGGAAGAAGACAAAAATGGCCACGCACGTAGACACTTAATAATAATTGGATACTCTTCGGGGTCTCCTATCGCTGCAAATTTATCTGTTTAACTTAATACCATTTTCGGAGTAATTATGACGCTTTTATCGCTATTGCAGCGAATACGCGGGTCATTTTTGACGGCTGAGGGACTGTAAGTGCTTCCACCGAAATTCGTTTAAATACCACCACCGCCGCCATTACCATTATCGATATTTTTTAACGACGGAAAAAATAATTGACGGCACAATTAGGTGACGCAGACGCTGATAGTGAGGCCGTTCGAAACATTTGCTTTTCTCTCCCCCGTTAAAAAAAAAATGAAAGTGACGGTGCTAGTTTTTGTAGCTCTCTACGCGTTGGACGAAACAAACGGCTTTAGTTTGGGCAGATTCTTCCCGTTCCATGGCAAAAACAACGAAACCCAAGACACCACGCCAGGTAAACTATATGCTATCACGTTATCCGTTATAAATGTTACCCTCAACTTTTTTTTACATTTTTGAAAAAAAGTTTAAAACAAAAGTTGGCGGGTTTGATGTGTGTATTTAATAATACGTACCTATTTATTTACACGGTGTGACAAAACATAGTATATCAAAGTTTTTAAAATTGTAAGCCCTGTGTATTATTTAAGCAAAAGCACAGTTCTTTTGGCCCTTGGCCTTGGCCCAGGCCCTTAAGGCCAGTATGTCAATGTCAAGTTTTTTGTTTAACCTTGAATTAAAACAGCTTACCTCTGCTCTTCTTTCTAATAACTTTCACATGAAAGATATTAAGCGTTCCATCACAAAATACACTTCACCATAACCTTCCAATAGCAATATGCCCACTGGCAACTGTGGTCCTCACTGACCACGTATCAAAAGTTCTAGAGAAATATAACGTCAAAACCAGATTTGATTTGAGATGCCAGGAGTTTATAGCATTCCATGCATATGCGGCAAGGAATACATTGGAGAGACCGGACGAAAAATGTCAACTAGGCTCAAACAACGTGGAAGAGCCAAACACTGACGACCTGCCAGCGGCCATGTTGGTTGTTGAAAGCCGCAAGGCCTTATGGGTCGAACGTCAGAATTTGCAATTAGAGCTGCCACTGGTTAAAAACGAAATTTCAAATCTCGCGCATGCCCATATTGGACAGACCTTCTCAAAATTTTGTTACATAGTTGCTTCACGAGTTCCTGTACGACTAGCATAGACAGGGCCCTCTATATATCTAGTAGCTATATTTAGAGACCGGACGAAAGATATCAACTAGGCTCAGAGAACATGAAAGAGCCTTAAGACTATGACAAATAAACTCATTGCCGTTGCAGTTGACGAACACAATCGCGACACCGGACATAAAATTTTATTAGATAAAACTAAAATTCTTGCATGTAATCAATTCTTCCACCAACGAAAAATCAGAGAGTCTATAGAAATCTATAAACAACCCAACAATCTTAACCGCGACTCGGGTCTTTATGGGAATCAGTCATCCGAGACACAGAAATGCAAATAGGGCCACCGTATTACATAAAAAATATAGAGATACCAATACCAATATGTAAACACTAACTTATTGAATAGGAATATTACTCTAAACATTAGAAATATCTTTCATGTTCCTGAATACACACTTTTTAACTTATCTGTTTGTTTATTTGATGTTGATGCCCAACATTAGTTTCTCTATTGGTCTCTGTGCTATTCCGAGTTTATTCCCTCTCTAGAAATCAGAATTCTTCTGCTAATATCGGCCTTTTGGATTTACGCTCCAAATCCAGTCTTCCACCCGTTTTGGTTTTTGTTAGATCTCGGAGACTTACACCCTTGTTTTATCAATTATGTTGTTTGACAACGTCTTCTAACGTTAATGTGAAGAGTTTTTGGAATACGGCCTCTTCGAACTGGTATTGGTCCTGTGGTTAGATTTCCTTTTATTTTCACTTGCAGGGTAGCCTTTTCATGTATATGCTTAATTAAGATTTCTATACCTCGAACCAATTCTAACGTTGTCCATTGCTTGATTTTTGACTTTTGGTTAGTTTATATTGTTATTTTTAACAGAAGGAATAATCATTTTTGTAATAAAATTGCAACATACATTTAGTTTCAACGTGTTTTGTATCTATAACAAGAATTTGAATGAAGAAAAATATCTGGAAATTTTACGAACAGTGGTTACAGATTTTTTAGACAATTTGAAATTAGTTACATCGCAGACGTGTTGTTTGTTTATTTTTTCTCAATACAAATTTCATATTCTCGATGTGCTTCTGAACCTTCCGGCACGCTTGCATAATATCATCAGTTACATTATCAGTATATTGTAAAAAAATATTACAATTGTAGCGGCACAAAGCGCTTCAGAATAACTTGGTACTTCGTCCTGTTGAACATCATCGTTCCTTTCGTTACCAGAGCTTTGAGGATCATTTGGCTGTCAAACTTCAGTAATAATATCATTATCCGTTAATAACTCGGTTGTTATTAACTTATCATCAACAGTTGGGAAGCTATCCAGCTCAGGAAGATACATTTCAATGTTGGCTAGATCTTAGCCGCCATTGCGCAAAAAAATTACATAGGGGAACCTTCCAGTCATCGTCATCATTATTTTTGTACTTCTCGAACCATTGAACTAGAGGTAAGTCATCGTCTGAATCAAACTCATCTTCCGATTTTATTTGAAATAGTGGTCGAAGTAACATCATTCCAACATTGTACAAATAATTTCATGGAGTCTAGGATAGTGATGTTGAAGGGTTCATGATTTGGAGGCAAAAACTCTAATCTGATATTTGAAAGGATTAGATTTTTTGCATGAGCTGCACAATTGCCAACCAGAAACAACATTTTTCTATTCTAACGTTTTCGTTTTTCATCCCAATCCTTTAAATAATTATAAAAAATTGCTGAAGTCATCCACGCTTGCTGGTTCGACTTATAAATGACATGTAGATTTTTCACATTTTTCATGCATCTCAGTCGTTCATATTTACCAATAACAAGAAGTTTGCATTTCTCGCTTGCTATCATATTTGCTCAAACCGAACCGGTGTACCTCACCTTCGACTGCTTCCCACCCAAACACTTTTCTCCTCTAAATTTAAGAGTACGATCTAGAGTCATCTTGTAAAATAGCCCAATCTCGTCATCAGAGCTGTAATTTTGGCCACTTATCACCTAGACAGCACAGCACAGCTTGTTAGTTTTCTGCGCTCGTATAAAAATTTTATATCTCGGTAACGGTAGGTCCTACGGGATCGCCGTTGGTACAGAAATGATCACCGTCGAAAAAAAAAATATTTTTTTGTCTGTCCGTTCTCCGTTCTAGTCTTTTGGTTTTTCCTGAAAAAACTTTCGAACCGTTGGAGCTACAAAATTGAAATTTGCTTCCTTTTTAACCCTCCACGAGGCATATAAGCTAAGGCCCCGATTCGAAGCCGGTATCCATCTTTTTTTCGCGATTTTCGACTGTTTTTTGGACCTTGCTATAAAACACGATAAGTGTCCGAAATTTGAAGCAACCGACTTTATATTTGGCACATATGTGCAGCTTTGCCCCGTGACGGAACCTGTCGAAAATGGGGGGGCTGGGGGGTCGGGAAGTATTTAAAAAAAAATAAAAATCGCGTGTGTAAGAGTCTACAAAAAAGACCATTTTTGAATTATTGAAAATTGGCAATAATTTCAAATCTGTATTTTAGATGTCAGTTTCTTAAACTTAAACTTTTGTATTTACGGTTTTTAGTATTGTACCTGGTGTTCGCGATATTCTGTGCATTATTAAAAAACATAATAAGTACTCCAAATTTGCAGCTACCGACTTCAGACAGTTTTTTGTTTAATTTTTGATTTTTTTTGTGGTTATTTTGGCGTCCAGAAAAACATCTTCTCCTCCAAAGCCATTCATCCAATCCGAAAAATTTTATATCCGGTATACGTGGCAGACCCGACGCTATAACTTTTGTTTTACCCATTTTTTCGATTATATACAAGGTGTTTTAGTTATAGACAAAAATCTAAAAGACCCCGAAAATTGTTCTTTTAGAAAGTGACGCTTCCCGCACGCTAGATCGGTGTGTAATTAGGTATTTTACAGACGGGAGTAGAAAGACCAATTTAATAGGAAACCGCAACGAAAAATTCAAGTGTTTAGCTGTACGGCTTGCGAAAAAATTGTTTAATTTCTTAAAAAGTATTTTTTATCTCCGAAAATGCCCAAGTTCCAGAATGTTTCGCTGAATCGCAGAAAAAAATATATACATCGTGTTCCATTTAAAAAACGAAAGTTGAAATACGTTACGAGTATATCTGGCAACACCGCATGACCAAAAATATTTTACATAGGTAGCTCATATTCGCAACATTTCAGGTTTTTGTCGTAAAAACTGCTTTTTGTGCATATGTTTGTATTTCTTTTCTTTAAAATAAAAAACTTTTTACAAAACTTCTGGATTCCTCCCGAGTCAGTTTCCTTAAGGCTCTCAAAAAGCCAACAGGATGATTGGCGAAACCTCAGCAAGTTCGACTCGGTGGAATCCAGAAGTTTTGTAAATAACATTACAGAAAAATAAAAAAGTTAGAAGGCGATTACATTTACGAGGGTAGCGCCATAATTTCCCGGCCTAGTTTGTTTGCAAAATGAGCTAAAACGGCCTCTTTTAACTCACCTTCGTCATTAAACCGCCGGCCACGTATGTCCTTTTTCAAATATCCAAACAAATAATAGTCGCTGGGGCCATATCTGGACTATATAGGATGATCTATCGGTTGGAACCACATTCTAAATGGCAGCTCCGGTCAGTTTTCATCGACTTTTTACACGTATGCAGTCTCGCAATTTATGTAATAATGTTGCGTAATATTTACCATTGACAGTGGTATTAGTTTCTTTAAAATCTATCAAAAGAATTCCTTCACAATACCAAAAGATCGTGGCCATCACCTTTTTTGTTGACTGGCAGACTCTGAATTTTCTTGGAGGTGCTTCGCCCTTACGACGCCACTCCATTAATTCTTTTTTCGATAGAGGGTCATAATAGAGAAACGTAGTTTCATCACCCGTCACAATAGTTTCTATCATAGGCTTCGATTCCGACCCACAGTTCCAAAAAAGACCGCGCACACTCGACACGGCGTTGTTTTTGAATAGCCGAAAGGTTTTTATAAACCCAGCTTGCACTAACCTTATGCATACCTAAATGATCATGCAGGATTCGACGAACACTTGTTTCAGAAAGCTTAGTAATTTCTGAGATTTCCTTGACCTTTAAACGTCGATCACTCAATACCACCTCTTCCACAATCGCAAACAATATCTTCCGTTATGACCCTCCACTGGTCGACCAGTTCTTGAATCATCTTCAAGGGACTCCTACCCCATTCGAAAACGTTTTGCCCATTCTTTCACTACAGAATACGAAGGAGAACTTTGGCCGTACACACTATCCAGCCTTTCTTTAATAATTTTAGGTGCTAACTCTTCTTTTGTCAAAAACACAATTTGCGTTATTTGCGACATTTTTTCGGACACGTCCTGTTTAAAATGCTGTCAATAAAAAACTATTTGACCCAAGACTTCATTTTTTTTCGCAGCCTACTAAGATATATATTTAAAAGAAGACAAAGTTTTATCTTGATACTGGAGCTGCATCTATGTCAGACCGGGAAATTCTGGCGCTAACCTCGTAAAATAGGGCGCTTCTTCCACTTTCAAGCTTCTTGATATATGAAAGGAAACACGTAACTACCAAAATTATGAAATGTTTTTATTCTGTGCCCTAGGGAATAAAAGTTTTCCAATTTTTGGTATAAAAATTAAAAATAGATAAAAATCAATCATCTCCGGAAAAAATCACGCTTGCACCTTAACAGGAAACACGCCTGCGCTGTGCGGAGGAGAAAAAAAATCACTCTTTCAATATTTTAAAAAAAAATTCGACCTCGAGGCGCGCGTCTTCCTTCAAATCCGTACAGTGGACAGCGTTCTTGTACTTGTCGCGGCCGAACCGCGCCCTCAGCGTGCACGGCCTGATCTGTCTCGCAATATCCGAATCGGACGGGCCGCAAAACCTCCTAAAATCGCCGTGGACGTCGTCGCCGTCGCCGGCAATCTCCAACGCGACGCAAGGACCGTCTACGAAACTCAACACCAGCGCGTGGTAATCGGTCACCACGCCCTTGTACACCTCGAGGAAGTCGTCCGCGTTCGCGGCGCTCAAGCGAAACATCTCGAGGGCCGCTATACGAAACCTAACCTCACTTATCGCGGAAATTATGTACCCGAGCTTGCCTTCGAGGACCGCGTGTGGCTTGACCACGCAACACGTCGTGTTTTGTCCCGAAACGTCGGCACCCGAACCCGGACGCGGCTTGTCCTTCGGGAAAAAGAACGCAGCCTCCCTAATCGCGTTCGCCGCGTCGCGGGATCCGTCAAGTCCGTTTGTTATCTCGCCGTCCCCGCCGTAAACCGCTCTAAGGCTACCCGGGGCTAATTTACGCGCTTCCGAAGGGTCTGCCGGGCCCAACGCTTCGAGCCACTTGTCCACCGCACTCTCGCCGACTAGTTCCAACGCGACGATCGGATCGGACACTAAATGTTCGAGTACCGGCGCCAACGTGCCGTCACCTTTCATCGGCTCGTACAGATCGAGCACCTCTTTCCTGGTCAGCCGGCACATCCTCGCGTTGCATATTTGAAAGCCGCGTTTTTCAATTTCCGCGACGATCTCGCCCAGTTTCGCGACTAGGTTAGGTTTAACCACGGCCACGGTGTGCTCTTTGGTTTTGCCGACGAATTTACGCGTCCTCTGGTCCGCGTAGTCTGTGATTTTGATTTGACGCCCGTAGACGCGCACCGTGCCGCCCGTAAACAGTTCCTTTAGCGACACGTCCAACTTCGTTCTCCGCAGATAAGTCCGGTTCAAGTCGCGGTCGAACAATTCGACCGTACCGTCGCACGGGTAGAAATTTAACGTAAACCTCTTCTGGTACGACACCTCGTGGTCGAGCCATTCGGCGAGAAACGACAGCTTATCATTGTAGCCGAACTCGATTTTGGCCATGGCCTGAAAAATGACGCGACGTTCAAAGAAATTGACAGCCGAGGGTGTGACGTCACGCGGGGCCGCGCACGGACCACAGAAACGACCGTAAGGCTGCGTTCACACACGTCGGTATAATTTTGTTAGTTATTTCTATGTCCTAAAAGAAAACTGTATGTTTGCAACGGACGATATATTTTTGGCTTGTTGTACCCAAGAAAGAAATATCATAAAAGAAAAAGGATTTTCAGTACATTCCTTCTTAACTGTCAGATACTTGGAAGGTATAACCAAAGACAAATATTTTCGTAGGAGTATATCTACTTCCCCCAAAGAAATGATTTCAGTCACAATAAGGTAAGTAAATAAAGATATTTGTTATTAAACGATTATTATTACATAAACTCATATATAGTCGAAGGAAGTGTTGTGAATTGCCTTGTTGATTAAATTGATGTGAAGTTGAGTGCTGGGTATTAACACTCTTATTATTATTAATATCATGATGAAAAGAGTGGTGTGATTAAAATGTCCAAGGACGAGAAGACGATGATGAACTTGGTTCAGAATCGCATGTAATAAATGTTGATGGTTGACGTTTTCGTGTGTTGATATTTTGTATCAATTGCAATACATTCATTCGAAACTCCAATTTCACCTCATCTGTCAGTTTTTGTACCAAAAAAAAAGTGTTGTCCTCGTCTGGTTGATTTTCTAGAGGCGTATATCGACGTCTTCTTGTAAACGACCTCTTTTAGGGGCCCTTTGTGCTGTATCATTGTCACTTGTCTTTTATCAGTGACTTCTTCTAATTCATTTTCTTTTAACGGTTGAACATGTTGAGAATCATCTAAACTGGAATGCTGGTTGTACTACTGTCACCAAGAATGTTAAGTTATCATGATAAACATTTTTCTTGCTTCACCACTTTTTTTAAAGATTCTATAAATAATATTAACAGAGAATTGTAACTCGTATCAGTTAGTCACTTTCTTATATCTATGAACAGACTTTACCTGATTCTCGAGCTTTGACCTTGCGAGGCTGTTTTTACTGGATAGTTCGCGGTAGATAAAGGTACGTCATAAGAATTCAGATAGATATTTATTAGAATCTTACAATTAAACATTTTTTGAAAGTTCCTGTTTAACACTTTAAAATGTGGAGACCGTGGAAAGAAGCAGATGTTCCCCTGTTAGAAGAAGACATGGAAAACCAGGCAGAAATGGTAGTAGAACCTGATGACAATTTAGAAGACGAACTACCTCAGGAAAATTGTGCCAAAGAGTCGTTGCATATTTTTTTGAAGAAAATGGATTTTCAGTTCTGAACAATTAATGAACGTCAAGCACTAATACAATCTCAAAGAATTTCGCAATGGAGGGTGGATTATTTAAAGGCGTGGTTCGACACTGACGATAGTAAAAGGATGGGGTGATAACAGTAACAAGTATGTGCCGCCTTCACATGAAAAACACATAATTCTTCATGCTGGGTCCAAAAATGGTTGGGTGAAAGATGCTTTATTTTTGTCTGCCAAAAACGTCAAAGCAAGTGTGGATTACCATGAAAACATGACCGCGGAAATATTTGAGGACTGGTTTGAAAATAAACTGTTGCCAAAACTATCGCCAAAAACTATAATTGTGTTGGATAATACCTGGTATGATTCAGTCCAAATTAGAAAAATTCCAAAAACTATAATTGTGTTGGATAATACCTGGTATGATTCAGTCCAAATTAGAAAAATTCTTCTTCAAATAAAGAAGAAATTAAAGAATTTCTGTACGAAAATGATTTATATTTTGGAGAGAAATACACGAAAAACACAACTTCTGGAATTATTAAAAAACAAAATATTTTAATAAAGACTACAAAATCATTTTATATTTAAGTCGGTCTAAGTGGATAAACGTAATTTGGCAAAAGGTAGCTAAAATATGAGTACAAAGCTAGTCTAACTGTGAAAAAAGCAAATATAGAGGAAGACAATATTTATCGAGAACGATTAGTGGTGGAGTTGATCATTGAACTAGGTGGCGACAGTAGCGATAGTGACGATTTTTTAAGTGACCGATACTTTATTACTATTATATTTAATATTGTGTATATTAAAAATGATGCTATGTAGAAATAAAATGACATTATTGGAGTAAATAAACAGGGTGCAACGTTTATCACGGGATCGGTTGCTAAAACACTATATTTCTGGCCGAAGTATACCGGCGTGTGTGAAAGCGTCCTAAATTTATTTTTTCAGCGCCGTTGCCGATAGTGGTGAGGCTGAGGGAGCTCAACCACTTCTCGCAGGACATGATGCACAAGGATTACGTCGGCGTGGGGATCGACGCGACCGCATTTTTGGAGACGTTCAATTTGAAATGGCCCGTTAGGATCGCGGTCAAGGCGGTGCACAAAGCGTTCCAAGCCGCGCATCCCTTCTACTTGAAAATATTCCCCGGCACGAAAACCAACGCCAGCTTCACGGACAGCATCGTCGGATACTTGGAAAGTGGACCGAAAATGATGTCGACCGCGTTGAAAATTATGTCCGTGTTCGGGCAGCAATAAATACAATTTGTTTCGTACATAAAGCTCGTTAAATCAATCCGCGTATTTTTTGATCGCGCCCCGTAATCATTACTGTCCCACGTTAACCTAACCTGCACTCGCGAATGATGATGTCGCAAATAAATAATTTTAATTCCTCCGAGTCATGTCGAAGGGTTTGTAAATTACGCAACTAACGTGAATAATAAAAAAACCAAATAGAAAGGCGATAAAAACGATTAAATACTCGGAGAATACATAAACAAACCTGTGCGAGCCGCCGCGAATAGTCGACCGTTTGAGGTTACCAGTAACGTCGGAAACGCCACTGGTCGATTGTACCTTTCGGTGATAACGTGAACTTTGAGCGTTTTTAAAACAGGCACTGTTTTTCTCGCAGATAGAGATTAGACGCGTTGAAAGCGACAAGAAAAATGGCGGCGCGTTCGCTGACAAAGTTCGTTTTCTCGAAAAACTCCGCGAACTTGGTGAAAAACGCCTGCTCGGCTCAAAATGTGAGGTTATTTTCGGCGCAAGGTACGTATTTCGCAGTCTTCGCGAGAAAAAAATACTTAAAATATACTTAAACGGTACGTACCGTTTCCCGTGTTGTCAACTTAATACGAACTATTACTTAAGAACCCTTTTGTTTACTGATTCTTGAAACGTCGTCATGGCAACGCCGAAACTACTTAAAATTTCACTCGGTTGTACCGAAATTTCAATTCTCACGGAAAAACGTTGATCTTCTCGCAAAATCCGCATTTTCATTGCCACAATTTCTGCGCTAAAGCGAACTACGAGTTCATCAAGGTGTCCAAGGCCGGCGCGAAAAACAATGTAGGCGTCATCACGTTAAACAGGCCGAAAGCGTTGAACGCCTTATGCAACGGCCTGATGACCGAACTGAGCAACGCCCTCGTAGAATTCGAAGGGGACGGTTCCGTCGGCGCGATCGTAATTACGGGAAGCGAGAAGGCTTTCGCGGCGGGCGCCGACATCAAGGAAATGCAAAATAACACATTTGCGAAAAACGTGTCGGCGAACTTTCTCGAACACTGGAACAAGGTGGCGAGGACTTACAAACCTGTAATCGCAGCAGTCAACGGTTACGCGGTAAGCTTCGCTTGACAGTTTTAACGCGTGCACAGAATATGAAGTTTTGGTAATGTCTTTTGTCTATTCTCAGCTGGGCGGCGGATGCGAGCTGGCCATGATGTGTGACATCATTTACGCCGGGGAGAATGCTAAATTCGGTCAGCCCGAGATCCTTATCGGCACCATCCCCGGTGCAGGCGGCACTCAACGTCTGCCGCGTTACGTCGGAAAGTCGAAAGCGATGGAAATCGTGCTTACCGGTAAGTGAGAGCGCCGCGGCCGGCTTCGGTGGTCGAAATTTTAGCGGCGCCGTTATTTTGCAGGTAACCAGGTAAACGCGCAGGAAGCGGAGAAGATGGGATTGGCCGCGAAGGTGTTCCCCGCCGATAAACTGGTCGACGAGGCCGTCAAATTGGGCGAAAAAATTTCTGCGAATTCTCAGCTAATCGTCAAGTTGGCCAAGGAATCTGTCAACGCCGCGTTCGAGACCACACTCGCTCAGGGTTTGTTGTTCGAGAAACGCCTGTTCCACGCCACTTTCGCCACCAAGGACCGTCAAGAGGGGATGACGGCGTTCGTCGAAAAACGTCCGCCAAACTTCACAAACGAATAAAACCCTTTTTTTTCATAAAGCTGTTTATTTAAACAAAAAACGAAGAGACATTTTTTATTCTTCTTACATCCGGAATAAATCCAGAATTTTAAGAATGTGTATGCTTAGGCGTGACGTATTTTAAAGACGGAGAATCACGCCCACGGTTTGGTCAGTCCTCGTTCGACGTTCTCTTTCTCTTCCACCTTCAAATAATCCACGCAATCTCGTACGTCGCCGGGATAACCCAACGTTTTGTTCAGAAACCTCAAAATAAGACAGTTGTTGATCCGCAACGCCTGCAGTGGGTCTAACTTTTTCATGAACCAATTCAGCCAGTACCCGATCAGCAGCACGGAGTCCGTCTGGCTTTCATGCGTGGTGTGCCTATAACGTTACGTCACGCGAAAGCGCAGATGACGTCATCGCCTGACTTACCGAATGGTATAAATCTCCGAATCGGCGTTCGTCAACATTTTCGCCATCGCGTCGACGTTCGACCCTATATGAAACGTCTGCGTATTTACAAACAACAACGGCTGTCGCACCTTCTCTTCCAAGCGTTCTCCTTTAACCGGAAACATCCACGGATCGAGTAAAATCCCCTGCCTAAACGTGACACTATAAGCTTTCGCTGATTGGTTGCGTGACGAAAGTTAGTGAAGGCGATGACGTCACGAGTTTTTTATTATTTATTATTTATTTATTATTTTAAGCTTACTTAAACTCTTTCCTGATTGATAACGCATATAGAGCGGTTGCAGCGCCGAACGAATGACCCATAACCGTAACCGAATCCAAATCCAAATGACCAGCGAAATCTTCCAAGATTACGTCAGCGCTTGCAACGTCAGGCGCGTTTCGCATTATATTACGCGGCGCTTCACCCCTCTGTAGCCCGATTAAATAGTCGAGCACCGCGCAAAACTCTGCCGCCCTCACTTTCAACTGCTCGTTTCGCTTCTCGTAGTGGTCTCGTCCGAATTTGATGTACCTAAATTCGAGATTAATCTTCCGGTCGTTCTCTGCATCCGACGCGTTTTGAAAATAGTATGTGTAACACGCCGACTGGTCCCTAGAAACCAAATTAAAGGACTAAGCTTTCGTGTTATATTCGCGAGTTACTTATGTTCCAACGCAACCACCAAAAATCCCCTCGATGCCAGCTCGCAGCATATGTTCGAATAGAAAAACCGGTTCGCGCCCAACCCATGGGACATTATTACGCATTTCAATTTTTCTTCAGTCCGTGGTTTGGCTCCGTATTGGGCGGGAATCTTGATCCCATCTGAAAATACGGATCGCATACATTTGTCACATGGTCAGTGAGCGTATTTTTAAGTACCGGACCACCAAAATACGATGCGCAGTAGAAAAGAATACAACATTATCACCCTGGCTATTCCCACTAAATAATTGTCATGCGGTAGCCACTGGATCCATGTTTTCGATTGGTCCTAAAATAAATATGGTAAAGGTACTGTACGTCCAAGATGGATGATACAAACTACAAACTTTAAAACTGGAGTCTACTCTTGTAGGATAATAGAATCTGACGAATGGGCCCTCTTTTGTGTAGTCAAACATAACGTCGAGCATGCCTGGCACGTAAGGTCCTCAAAAATTAAATTATTATCAGCGTCCTCAGGATCAATAGTACTCTCAACTTACCAAACTCTTTTATCTGCGGTTGAACGAAAAGGCACAGACCGACAGTTTGACAATTCACCGAAAACAGCGCGCCAAAACCATGGATAACAGGGTTTGGTAAGTTCCGCACACGATGCGTGACGTCATTTCAATAACACAAACGGGAAATGGAACGCCTCCGGTGATGCGAGGAAGTACGTTTTTCGCGAAAACCGTTGGGAAAAGAGGGAAAAATCTTACCTGTGGCACGGGGTAAGTGCCGCGGTATGTCGCTGAACCATTTCATGTTTTATTTTCGTCTTTGTAACACCAAATTACGTGAAATTCGTCTTTTGAACTAGGTTAATTGATTTCGGCTCAGGCACTTACGATTTATGATTCTCGGTGAGAGGTCAAGGATCTTGCTAATGTGTCGGTTTGTACGCAATAATGGAGTTTGAATCGTGTAAACACTCGCGGAGTATCCAATTTGTAGCGACTCGTAAAAATATCGCTTACCATAAATTGAATTAAATTTTTATAACTTTTATATAAATTTATATCGGAAAATTTCGTTTTAGCCGAATCCCAAACGATCAACGGTTGGTGCCTAAGTTTTGTCTTAAAAGTCTCCTAAGCATGGAGGGTGTTATCACTACCATAAGCGGCTTAAAACGGCCGGCAGCTTCGCCAAGAGGTTCGCCTAGCAAGAGAACTAATTTCGTCGGCATTTCACCTATGAAGGAATTGACCAACGTTAAAACCCCGACGGACAGGCCTTTTCGCGTTTCCATTGAGGGGAACATTGGAGCCGGTAAATCAACTTTGATAAAGTATTTCCAAGAGATGGACGGTATCGAGACCTATGCTGTAGGTTTTTGTTATGGGCAATTACACTTTGAAATTTTGAAAAAATATTCCAGGAACCTTTGAATTGGTGGAGGAACGTTGACGGCCACAACCTGCTCGAGTTAATGTATTCGGATATACACGAGTGGCTCAGGGTATTCCAGAGCTATGTTCAGTTTACTAGGCTTAGTGTGCAGACCACAAAACCTCAAAGCAGCGCGACGAGGGTGCAAATGTTCGAGAGGTCGATTCAGAACAACCGGTTCTGTTTCATGGAACAAGCTTATAGCAATGGATATTTGCATGGGGCAGATTACTCTGTACTGGATCAGTGGTATAGATGGATAAGGGCTAACGTCGATATCAGTTTGGACTTGATAGTTTACTTGAGAAGCACTCCGGAAGTGGTGTATCAGAGAGTAAAGGCTAGGGGTCGGCCTGAAGAGGACGGTTTGTCTCTGGAGTACCTCAAACAGCTCCACGATAGCCATGAGCAATGGTTGATGACCGATGACGAAAGATTCAACACAATTCCCGTGCTCGTGTTGGACGCGGATCGCACTTTGGAAGAAATCGTGGTGGAATACAAAAAGAATGAACACAAAATTTTAGGATATGACAAAAAGGGCCTAAAGAAAATTGAACAGGAAGAAAAAGATAAAGTGAGAAGAAAAGTTTCTTTCTAAAATTAGCACACCTACCTAGATTAAGAATCACTTTTGTACAAACCGATGCAATATAAATATGTTACTATATAACCTACAGTATGATTTTGAGTTGTATTTTTTACCTCTAACCCTAAAAAGTTACACGCAATTATACACTGGGGCAGCATATTGTATTTGATTACTAGCTTAAAAATATGTTTTACTTTTAAACAAGTCTTCCGTTTTATTCCAAAAGAATTTGCTTTTAGAGTTATCCCGTCTATTATAATAGTAAGTTTGTTCCTAGATAATGGATTGCCAATTTTTGTTCTGCAAAAGGCTTAAACTTTGCGTAGTTTTCAAACTAACCTTACTTGATCGATATAATTCCCCTCTTTTGTTTTTTTTTAATTAACCCATCATCGGTAGTACCTAGTTTGGTAGACAATAATTACTATAGGGAACAATTCGGAAAGATTTTTTATAAAAATCCGTCATCAGTTAACGTAGAGCTGGTTGCGTGGTCTTCGAATATATTCATTTGTTTGTCTCTTCTGTCGTTTCGATCAAATCTGAAATGCGCAGGTTTCTGCCAAAAAAATAAAAAAAAAATCGGATTAGCGATTTACTCAGATCCGAAACCGTAATTTTACGTCTACGAACAAAGGATTTTTAAACCATCACTTGTCTGTGATCTTCGCATGTCTGTGATCGTTGCTGATGGTTTCTGGGAACAAACGTTATTGTTTTCCAAGGGACAAAATTATTGTATTGGAATTCCGTCTCGACAATCGCCCCCGCCGCCGAGCAGTGGCGCCACCTTTCAAACAACCTTCGAAACGAAAATCCGCGCATGCCATTTGATAACGGGCCGTAATTTTCCAATTTTGCCGAAGTCGGTTCTTGGCTGTCGTCGTTATGTGGAGTGGTTTGTGTCGGTAAAATTTTGCTACGACTTCATGTTTTGTGTTTAAAAAACGCCCGTGTTTTGGTGCGCCCGAATTCCGAGTGGGAAGTTACGTATCGCCGCCTGCAACCGACCTGTAAGTTATCGACGTGCGTCCCGAGCGGGTTTTTGTGCAAACAACTTCAAGGCACGGAATCGATTAAATTCTGACATTTTTCCGAATGTTGGGACTCACTTATGCGGCAGAGATTTTCACGTAACGCGTCGCTGCGACGAGGAAAATTGAGATTTGGCGAAACCTCGCGCTTTTTTGACGAAAACTCGACGTTCCGCCGTCACCGAATGATTAATGTTTTGTAGGTTAGGTTGCGTGTGTGAAGAAGGTGTAATAAAATTGCACGTAAAGTGGCGGAGTATTCCTCCAAATGAGTATATACGGTCTTGTTTTCGTAAAAGTGCGGCTTAACAGTTTTGTTGTATTGTTTCTCGAGCCTGTGAGTTGAAATTCCTGGCAGATTAGATTAGAAAATGGAACATCGTTCCGGTAAAAATGCACATTATCGCACCTGGGCGGTGTTAATTGTGCTTTTATTGCTTTGAAATCCAATAAATCGCTCTAGTATAGCGATTTTTTTTAGCGACGATAGTTTGAGTGGTTTCTCGGTCGAAAGCTAGACTAACAGCGTTCACATCAGACGGGTGTATGATTCATTGATTCGGCAAAACGCGAACCGCCGTGCATACTTCGCGTGTGTGTATGTTTTTTTTTTGTTTAGGTGGGTGCATTTTTAACGCTCCACAAACTATTTTTAACCGTACTCATAGACGTGAATTTGACAAAAACGGGGACGCTGTTATCACTGGAAAAAATTGATCGATAACCGCTAGAGAGAGGGTTGAAAATCTCATTGGATAATAAAATTCATCCGGGCGGTAAGACGTGGATTAATGAACGTGCCCGGCTATCAATCAGCCTCCCGACGAAATCCGGTAGGTACCCGGAGTTCTCCGCGTTCTTTCGTCTTTTGACAAAAAAAACAGGCTATTTTCCGCATCCCCTGAGAGGTTGAAACGCTCGGCCGTCATTGCGTATGCACCCCCGTATTTATTTTACCGCGGACATGTCGTGACGTCGCTCGGGCGTTTAAAAGAACGTCTAAATTAAAAATAAACGCGAGAGGGTAGTTATTTTCGATTTCACGTCAATTTGGATAAGCCGTGTTCGAAAGCCGGTAAAAATAAACGATGATCGCACAGCGACTGCTTCTGAAAAATTGATATCACTACCGTTGGAACGGCACGAGACAAAGATAAACAAAAATGACGTCATTAAAATGTTGAGAAGGACTCTTCAAATATGCCCCGATCTCAATAAATGTTCCTGATAAACACGAGTGAAATGTGTGGAAATCGCTGTTTAGAAAGAAAAAGGCTCAAAGTGCAGCAGGTTCTTCATCTTCTTGTACTTCTATTGGCCAAGAATGCTGAGAAAATTCGGTCATTTTCTCGGAGAATGGTGACTTTTCTTTATAACCTGGAATACATATATTCAAAAACAGGTAATTATGGTCCCAAATTCTAGGATGACATGCAACACACTAGAAATTCATAACATCCGCTTAAGGCGAATAGTATTTCCCAAAATTATATGCACTGTGCCTCTATCGATTCAGTTAACAAATACACAAAACATTATTTTATATCAAACGACACTAATTTCAACCGATTTCTACATTTTGTGCAATGGTCCCTTCGAAATTTATAGTACAGGTTAGTGTACGTGCGAAATTATTTTCTTCTTTTCTAAAATGTCACAGTCTGATGCGCATCAGTTTTACAGTTTACAGTTTTAACGGCCCATTTATTGCAGCTCTATGGTCACTGCCTTTTATACATAAGTATCAAAATTACGTCTGTGGTATGTGATCCAACAGTTACGTACGAATTCCTTTACGACTCAACTGAATTTCTCAAATAAGGTGGGTTCGGTTGATAAAGACAGTGCCGGAGCGGAGTAGACGTAGTTTTTCGTCACGTGATCTTGGAGTTAACTGAGTGTAAACTGTATTATACCCGAACGCCTCTGGACTTTTACAGCAGAGCGTCAAACATAAATGTCAATCAACTGTTTTGGTTTTTTATTGTTTTTGTGCTTTATTTTTATAATCCATTTTTATTAATTCAAGTTGCCGCTTTTTAATAATAAACAATTTAAAGAAGATTTGAAGATTTAGTTGGAAATGTGCACAGTGTTTCCAATGTTAGACGGGTGATTTTGCTAAGTGAGGGTTACCATATGGTACCTGGGGAATATTAGGAGCCTTAGGTAATTTAGATAATAATATTAAAATAATCGGGCAGGACTGAATTAAAAAAAAGTTATTAAGTCTATTCTAAGGTTTTTTGTTACTTATCTTTCTTATACACACAATTTTGTCAATAATTGGCATATAAACTTGATGTTAATCTAATTGTCGTTTGATTGAAGATTTAAAACTGTTTGAGTTTATTTAAGGGTAGATTTCGAAAACTAAAATTCTTCGAAACCATTATCTGTAACTAACTGGAAGCTTCTATTTTACATAATATTTACATCTTAAAGGGAGACTCTTCTGAAGTTATGGATCTAGAAAAAGGAACAATAATTGGACAGCAAAATGAAATAATAAATTAAGAAATGTCTTTTATAAATTAGAATTTATTTCTTAAATTAAAATGAATATTTTGGGCCCAATCTGAATTTTTTGTACTTACAGGAACATATATATATATAAAACTCTAAGATACTGAAAATAAATCATACTTAAGACTCCCTCAATGTGCTAACAAAGTTACACTAGGAACTAAATACTCTAAAAAAGCGTTTTTTATTTATCATTATTAGAAAAATTTTCAAACATTTTTTCAAAAATCGATCCAGCTTGCTCATTGTTTCAAAGTGTTTTCGTTCCGTATCAGATTGTTTTTGTTTTCTTTTCTTTAAAAAAGGATTTTCATACTTGGATGAACTTGGGGTATCACAAGATGTGGAATCTACGATTCATTTTCTCCAGTTTGGGTTTCTTTTTTATTACCTGAAAAGTTTTGAATCACTTGATAACGTAAAAGTTGGCTGTATTTACCAAGATTCGAGTTTAATTCATAATTTTTTAAGCGTGATATTTATCCCCTTCTTTAGTTTGCAAATCTGTAGCTATTTGGGTTTGTTTCAGGGTTATTCAAGGCACTGTATACTGTAAGCTTATTATCTCTTTTACATTCTGGAATTGGATTTGGTGAGCCCGAAATTTTTTTTTTCATGCAAAAGAATTTAATTTGTTTAGCCAATATATCTAATTTACCTATCTTCATCGTTTGTATTCTTGGAATTATTTTGCAGTCAATTACCTATTTATTACTAAATAATAAAAGCCCTTCGCTCATAGCAGCTTAAACAGAACAAAATAGATTGTTCATCTTGCTTCCACTTATACTTAAACAGATCTAACAATACAAGACAGCCGATCACGATTATACTTGAACCAAAATTATAGAACCGACCCCGTCGTTAATTTTGCCTACTATTTATTACTCCAAAACTGCAGCCATTATAGAACACCCTTAACCACTATAGGATCTAAAGTCTGTTCATAGATATAAGAAAGTGACTAACTGATACGAATTAAGGAAAGACCCGGGCAAGCTGGAGGAATGAAATATGGTCGCACAGGTCCGTACTTTGCTTAGAATTTAATTATTTGGGGTTTTGTTAGGAAAGATACTAAACAATATTTATTTATGTATTTATGTTTAAATCTAAAATAAAATTACAAATTATTTTTATTACCTACTTAAATTACTTAAAATTATCGCTATCATCGCCTGTTCTAATTATTATTTGTTCTATATTATTTACAATATGGATATACGATTGTTCTGCTTTTTCTATATGTTTAACAGAATTTGCACAACTTTGTTGTTAAAATGTTAAAAACTTCGGTTTCTATAAGTTTGAGAACATTGAAGTTAACACGGGGAAAAGCATTGTTACGACGAATGGCAGATTTCATTGGTGCCAAACATGTTCAATGGGATTAAATATACAGTGGTAAGGTGGATGCCTTAAAACTGTATGCTCTAGATTGTTTGCATAATTATCACAGACGTATTCCTTTTGTAGTTTCAATCCTTGTAGGACCTCAATTAATGGCTTTTTGGTATAATCTTCGTGAAAATAAATGTCGTTATTGTACGTGTAGTTTTGGATTGTTGCTGTTGTGTTACATGACGAAGGGGTTTTAGTCAACTGTCTACTGTGATAACTTGCATTGCAATTACGCTATTAGGAGGAATGTTTTTAAAGCAACTTCCAAATAAATCAGCGGTGGTGTGGAGAGAGAAAGTCCATTTGCCAGCATGCAAGATAGTTATTCTTTTACCTCTTTGATCGCGCGTGTCGAACCAGGTTTCATCCAAGTAAATAATCGGCATTTGTTGTGCTCTGCAAATCCTAATTTTTTCTAGATATTCCAGTCGCCATTTCCGAATTCAAAAAGATTCCATTAAAACTTGCCTTTTGTCAATATTTTTAAATTTGGAACCCATGTGTTGAATACACTTCCATAAAGTAGTTCTGCCACATTTAACACCGGTTTCATCTTTTTCAAGCCTCCTAATTAAGATATCTAATGTAGGCACGCTTTGTTCTTCGTATAACTGGTAAATTTTACTTCGTATTATATCTTGATCACTTTCATTTACACCCGAGAAAATGTGAGCATCGCTTCTTTTTTTCCTCGCTGACATGGGATTATTTACATTAATTAATTAATTTAATTAATTAAATTAAATTAGATATATTTTCTGAACAAATTGTCGGGCTTACCAAATCCAATTCCAGGATGTAAAAGAGATAATGAGCTTACAGTATACACACCTCTAGGTAATAAGTTTAGTGGTCAAAAAAACGAGGCATTGGGAATTCTATAATTCTATAATGAATAAACCTGAAACAAACCCAAATAGCTACCTACAGATTTGCAAATTAAAGAAGGAGATGAGTATCACGCTGTAAAATGGGATTTAAGTACCGCAAAATAGACAAAAGTCAAGTATTAATGTAATCACGCAGATTACATTTGTTGATTTAATTACCTTCAAGAAGTTAAAAGATGTAGATTAGACAACAGATCCATAATTTGTCGACAGCGTATCCATAGGATGGGTTGATTTTATCCAAAACTGTCAGACGAAAGTACTTTCAAATAGAGGGCACCATAATACACGCTGGGTTAGGGGATGGATTTTTCTCAAACTGCTTGCTGTTCTCTGCATAGAATATTAAGGATTTGATAAAAAAGTGTGATTAGTAATGTGTTGCCTCGGCTAGGCAATTGGAAATAAGCAACAACTGATGTCGTACTTTTTATTTTCCTTTTTAAACTGAATTACACGCTTCCACATTTGGTAATTTTACAAGAAAAAAATTAACAAAACAATACTCGCAAAATTGGCGCGTAGCGCATCCCGCTACCGTCTTCTCGCCACCACCACAGTTACCCCTTCCGCCGTTCTCACTCGTCTTCTTCTTCTTAACTTCTGACAATACACTTTACCATAAACACAACTGGGACAAGGTATTGGGCACACGAGGACTTACAGTTCTATACAAAACAACATAAATCCTATTACAACCTGATAGTGAAAAGAATTAGATTTAAACATTTAGAATGAAATGTAATTATGTATAGATATTCTTACCTATGAAATTATTGTATATATTTAATGTCATTGTTTTTTCTTAATGTAATTTAATAAGGTTATGTTATTACCAAAACCTTTGAGAGTCCGCACACGAGTTTTATTGCCTTCGGCAGGTCACTTCCATAAAAGCGGTAAAGATTGAGACGGACTATTCACCTAGCGAACAAGGCGAACCTAGAAAAATTAACGGGTTCCAAGACGTGCCTAATTTGGATATCAGCTGTTAGACTCAACTTTTTGCGTCATCCAAAATGCCCTGTCATATTGTTCCCCCGTGTCCTTCCAGTAGCTCCGCATCTCTTCTTTGTCAGGCGCCAATTGTAAAGATTCTTGTGTGTTTTGTGGAAGCTGTCCGTAGAATACATTTTTGGTTATCATTACTAATAATTTCCTATTTCGATTACGAGTTTAAATTGTGTCCTACGCCATTTTCGTGACGAAAATCCGCATAATAGCGATCTGCGCGACTACTTGGGACCCCAGGGCATCATCGCCAAATTTGCCGCCCCGACCACGACGCCGTAGGTCGATATTTTCGGCTCCGCCCATCGTTTCTGTTCGCGTTAGTTTTCGGTAGATGTATATATGGGTGGGTAATAGAGTGGATCAACGGATAACGGATTTATAATTAGGCGCCTCTAAATAAAGCTCATTCTTCCTGACGCGATTCCTGAGAGGGTTGAAAAAGCCAAAATCCCCGGAATACAACATAAATCGTAAATATGTATTACGTTTATTTCTTTAGAAACGTACAAAAATCTTTAGAAAAAAATGTAAAAGATACAACTTTTTACAAAACTTCTGGATTCCTCCCGCGTCGGTTTTTGCCGAGTCGAACTTGCTGACGTTTCAGTCAAGCTCTGAGGAAGACAGCAGGATAATCGGCGAAACGTCAGGAAGTTCGACTCCAGAAGTTTTGTAAAAAGTATTACAGTAGCCTCTGGAAGTTTCTTTGAACAAAAAAATCTAAGATACTCGTCTCACGCGTGAAATGAACTTCTCTTTAGCAAAAACTTTTAGATCGGTAATTAGTTTTAAGGCTTCATTATCGCTGTTAATCGTGCTGGGTTCCCCACTATCATGTTCTTGATCGCTGTCTTCTTCCGGTTCAGGTTCTTTCATTTTTTCAATTGCATCTTCAATGTTCACACTACTCTCCCATATATATTATCTTTTGGATCCGACTCCATCGATGTAGAAAAATAATATTTTCAACATTTATATAATTTTATTTTTTGTTTTCCGATTTTTTAAAATTAAAATGAAAATGAAGATTTTAACAAAATTGAGAGCAATCCTTACAAAATCATTGATAGTTTCATGAATTGCGAGCATAAATATGTCTAAAATCAGTCTCATATCCAGTGCAACCAAACCATTGTATACCCTTTGGGAAACTTTCAAATGTCAAAAAACCAAAAGTTGCTGCAAAAATAATGGTCGGTCGGAAAAAATGCGATTTCGGAAAAAATAACAAACTCATTAATCACTTGAAAACCTCGCGCATCAATCATTTGTCAGCCGTGCGGTCCGGATTATAGGGACGGCAGCAGTCGCCGAAAAGTTACCAGTTTTTCAAATCAAATTACGTCAGCAAACCGACGACCTGCATAAATTATCTGATAAATAGATAATTTATCCACAAGTCCAGTACAGTGGATGTTTCGTCTAAAACGTTCCGATAACAAATTACAACTTATGTATGTAATAAAACAGTGTACAGGGTGGCGCATTAATAAAAGACGTCCGCCATATCTCAGGAATCGTTAGTCCTACAACTTAGACGAGAAAAAGCGGGAAATTATTTCAAAGTTCATAAAATTGCCTCTAGGGGGCGCGACCTTCGCTGTAAAATAGATAAAACGGGATTTCTCAAAATTATTCCGAATTAACCCATATCAAAAAATTAGTTTTAACGTAGTCAACTCTAGGTAAGGAAACTGTTTTGTTCGAACTATTTTTTTTATCTCGCCAAATTAAGGGTGGGGGAAGGGTCAAATATTGGTTTAGAAAAAGTTGAATTACCTTTTTTTGGCTCATCCGATTTCGACGAACTTGGTTTAGTTTTAAAGGGTATTTATAGGAATTTCGACTGGCATGTCAATATCACGATATTAATTCTTTTACGAGTCGGTAGGAGGCGCTTCATGTCAAAAACAGCTATTTATATTTATACATACATGATACAACAGTCCTGTAATTCATCAACTACTGAACCTGAACCTTTTAGTTGTTTTTATGTATAAATTATATGTTACATCTTATGTGCCCCAAAACATTATTTAATGTTTTTTCCCAGTGGATCGTTTACGCACCAGTATTTTTTTGTATGTTTCGAGTTTTTATTCTCTTTTTTTGACACCTGTAGCGTATTCTTAAGTGCAACAAAATAAATAATTTCAGATGAAAAAAGTGTTTTTTTTTTATGCTTGGGATAATATGGATTAAGCAATTTAAATATTAAAGTTAGGTTATGTTTGGCAAAATTAAAATCTACCCCTTAATAAAACAGACGCTTATGTTGATCGAAGATTGCAGAAACGCTTTAATATACAGGGCAATTTTGAAGTGTCTGTATGTCTCGATAGTAAAGCATTTTGACAGCGACGCCGTGTATAATATATGTTTTAAGTGCATTGCCTTGCTACAATTATTTCTTTTACTTTCAGATGACACAACGCCATCGTTAACACGACCGACTTCCCTAGTTTTCAAGGTAAGTTTTTTTTTGTAATTTCGTAAAATACGCCCGTCAAGACTCCGCGAAATAGCAAGCGGTGAACGAAATCAACATAGTTCTATAGATTTTTTGTGTTTGAATGGGGCTAATGCTGACAGAGACTTGTTAGAGAATTTCGGAACAGTTTGGTTGGTCGTTGATATGCGTTTTGAGATTCGTGGCATTTAAGATATCTCGAAGGATAAGTAATATTGATGACGTACCTAACATTTTTTATTCCGATATGTAGATCGTCGTCGGGAGATGCAACGAATTTTTTCGATAAACTTTTTGAAACAGAAGTATCGGATTGCGAGGAGATTTTAATTTTCACCCAGTCAGTGACAGTTGTAGATTCAATAGGCCCATACCTTCAAACTTTGGAACGATTTAGGTGATAAACAAAAAATCGCTGGAAGAACCCAAAGCTATACCGGAAAGTGCCTGCCAAAAGTGCTTCGAGGATTTGAAAAAAAGCTGGCACAAGTGGGGATTACTTAAAGGGGACAAGATTAATTTTGATAAGTAATTAAATAATTTTTGATAAAACTTAAAAATCACCTTACTTTTTGAACACACCTCGTAGGTAGTAATGTGTTTCTGATTGGGTTTGGATACGTCGAATGTGAACATAAAAACTACACAAAAAAGGTGTTTCGTTAAAAGCCCAATAGTTGACTTTCATAGGTCTGAGTGGACTTATTTATGTAAATTCCAGCGCCTTAACTTTTGAATGTTTTTATAAAATTTTCCGGTATCAATTTGCGCTACATTTTTCATTACGTAAATTTTCGCAAACTTATCGTTTTCAGTTTCCCCGGGAGTAAAAAACGGGCAAACTAGTTCCGATGCACAAAATAGATAGTAGTGTAATTATCGACCAGTTACAACAACGATGAGTATTTGAATATGCATTTTTTAATAGAATGATGCTTTTTCTTGAAGTGAATAATATAATTTCTATGAACCAATTTGGATTTGCCAATGGAACGTCGTCTATAATGGCAGTGACGTCCTTTTGCTGTAATGTAATGAAAAGCCTGGAATCAGAAAAGTACCCTATTGGGATAGTTTGTGACTGTATCAAAAAGATCATCTCCGTAGTCAGATTAATTCGTCTGTAGGTGATATTGATTGTTTCTCAAAATATAAAACCAATCATCAAAGCACTTTTCCCATATCGAGTCGGGCACCTCCAAAACATGCTTTTTAAACGCATCAATTCTTAATGTATGGAAATAAAAAGAAGTCAATAGGTGCTAAATCAGGACTATATTTGGGATGGCTCATCAAATCGACGTTTTTAATGCTCAAAAAGTTCTTTGTTTGCGCTGATCCGTGGGAGCTTAGCATTGTCGTCGTGGAGAGTGATTCGTCTTCGGCGTCGAATTAAGTTCATCGATGCATTGTTGAGTTAGTCCACGTCTAAAGTTGTAAAAAAGTATTTGACGAAAATGACTGCAATTAAGTTCCATTTTTAACCGTCACAATTTTTTAAATTTATAACAAAAAACACAAACAACACTTTCACCAAAAAACCTAACTGAGTAAACCTAACCTCAAAATGTCAAATTTCCCAATAAAAACCTTGGTCGCCAGATGGCAGGGCTAGTTTAAGAAAATCGCGAAATATAAAAGGCATCCCTCGTATAGGTGTTCCACAGGGATCGGTTTTAGGTCTAGTCCTATTCACACTCTCAATCAATCAATCAATGATGCAGAAACCATTTCTACAAATTCATCTTTGACCCTATATGCTGATGACACTTTCTTTGTTATTTCAGGTAGGTGCGATCTTTTAATGCTGAGTAAATTCTACGATGTGCCAATAACAGTAATAATTTGTTATTAAATCCCGATAAGACAACGTTTTTAAGATTCCACCGATTCTCGACTGTTTTTTGGATCTTGCTATGAAACACGATAAGTATCCGAAATTTGAAGCGATCGACTTCATATTTGGCGCATCTATGCAGCTTTGAAGTATTTAAAAAAAGATAAAAATCGCGTGTGCAACGGTCTACAAAAAAGACCATTTTTCAGAAACCGTTTACAAGACCGCAACAAATCTTGAGCCAAAAGACGCAGAGGAAACGACTCCATAAACTTTTATTCTTGACAATTCTTCAGAAATATACAGGCTGCGCCGCAAATTTAAAAAAACTAAAAAATGGGTCCCCCTATTATTGAAAATTGGCAATAAATTCAAATCTGTGTTTTAAATGTCAGTTTCTTTTACATGAGATGACATAAACTTTTGTATTTACGGTTTTTAAGTATTGTACAGGGTGTTCGCGATATTCCATGCAATATTAAAAAACATAATAAATGCTCCAAATTTGCGACGTACTTGCCCCGCTCATCGACGGTTTTTCGAAAGAAATTATTGTTATTATTATTATTATTATTTTTATTATTATTATTATTATTATTATTATTATTATTATTAATATTATTACTATTATAATTGTTATTATTCTAACGACGTAACTGTCGTGCATACCGCCCGTGCTAGTTTAATTTAAACCTATGGACGTCGCCGCTAACGTAGGAATCGATTAACACGTCACAAAAAAAGGGGGGCGGGGCGGAGCGGGGCGATTTTTTTTATGGCGCGCGTTAACGGGGGTTTTGTTTGTAATCGGTTTTTAATTAATCAAGTCGGTTTTGAAAATTGGGCGTTAATTGGAGTGCCAGCAGTCCGGCGAAGGGTGGTCATAATTAGAAAAAATCAATGGCCGATATTGTTCCAAATAATAATGAAAATTATAGTTATTAATGGACGATTTACTAACAACACAAACTACCAATCACTAACGTCAAAAAAGGTGACGCAATTATTGGATTTTTGTTATTAAAATGGCCGATGGACATAAAATATCTATACCGACGCTAAGTCGGAGTCGATCGTACCACCAACGTAAAAGGTTAACTTTTGAACGGCTGAAATAGCTAGAGGCGCCATCTATTTAGCAGAGGCGCGATCTTTTGCGTCTGCTGGAAGGTGTTAATCGGGACTTAAACTGTAATGGTGAGGGCGTGGTATAAAAGTGAGGCAAATCGTTGCCTGATAATATTTTATTTATCGATATAGTTCTTGCTGATTAAATATTTCTATAAAATAAAATTTCTTTTAACCTAACTTCTTAAAAAGCTTCCGCATCCAAATTAGTATTACAAAGACTCGAAGACTGTCTTGCGTTTTAAAAAAAGTTAATTAAATAAAATTTAAAAATTATTTACACGCTTTCACAAAGTATCCTCTAGTTTAGTAACTGTACCAAATTTTATTTAAAAATATTTACGTGTTTCGAAAATATGTACAACAAATCAAACCAATCAAATTTAACACCCTGTATGTTAAAAACTAAGACGTTTTATATGAACTTTTATGCCTATTTTGGGTCACAGAATACTTGGTTAAAATATTGACGTCTAATTTCGGGCCACCCTGTATATCAATGTGTACGCGCTTTTTTTCTCAATGTTTTTAAAAGACTTTAAGACTATTACGAATGTTATTGATGATTTGTGAATAATTTCAGTAAGAATAAATTAAGTGATCAAACAACGATAACGCCCTTATCCATAACTAGCATTGCATTGCTGTCGTAAAATTTGCCTCCCCCCATTTTCTATCACTGCACAATGTAAACATAGAAATGTGTGTGTAAATAGCATTAGGTATATTTTTTTGAGTTGTATTTGTGTTCTTACCTGCATGTTTATAAGTATTATTTTTGTTATAACCTTGCGTAGATGGAAATTGGCCCATTGTGAACTTTTGACCTGAAAACTACTTATCAGATAAAAAAAAAGCTGTTTGAAAGATATTAATACCACTTTAAATGGATTTTTAGGTTTAGCATAGTAAAATAACTGCACTAGTGAAATTAACTTGTTTCAATTACTAAATACAATTTTTTTAATAATGAGTATGATCCCCTCTTGCCCTAATAACATTTCTTACTCGATGAGGCCTATATCTAAACAAGTTCCCTATTAAAAAAAAAACATTTGATAAAGACACGGTGTTGTCGAAACAATTGTCATGTGAAAATATATAATTTAGTGAAAATCTGAACTTTTAGTTCTTATTTATTTTGTTAAATCGATTTTCATCAAGTAAAAGCCACCTCAGTTCAAGTTCCCTATTGTTTCTTGCGGAATTTTAACCCACTCTTCCTCTACTGCCACAATAAACTCTAGGATCGAGGTTGGGGTACGGAGTCTAGCTCGAATTCTCCATTTTAGCTTATCCCATATATATTCGATCGGATTGAGATCGGGACTGCGTTCTGGCCACTCCATAATTCGAAAACCGACTTCTGTAATCTGACACGATCCTCGGTGTGCGGCGTAGCATTATCATGCATAAAAATGAATGAAATGGTATTGCACCCCATACCATGGAGGAACCACCTGCATAATTCTGCAAATCGCTCTCCTGGTCTTCGGTACACTTTTTTTTCGTCGGTCACTACCAAAAAGACATATTCTGGTCTCATCTGAGAACTGAACAGATCCCCAATTCAGATGATCCTGTGCAAAGCGTAGGCGTGCTTGTCAATGAGCTGGAGTAAGTTTTGGACCAATAGCAGTTGTTTTTGGGATCAGGTTATTCTCCTCCAGTCTGGTGGTGGCCTCTATTTTGTAACTCATTGAACAAAAGATTTTCCAGGTAGATTTTAAATCTTACATTGCTGTGCGACTTTTAAAAACTGATAAAACAATTACTCAAAGAAATCTTGCACCTGCCTTAGATGAAGCGCGTTATGATAATCAAGGTCACCTCAAGATCGTTCATGCTAATAAAGCCCGAAGGAGATGTAGAATCTGCCACAGCCACACAATTTACGTTTGTAATAAGTGTAATGTGCATTTACATACTACGCGCTTTGTAATATATCTAACTAACCAACTAACTAAACTAACCAAAAATGAAACCGGGTGTTACCAGTGGTGCGCTCACGGACCATAAAATATTATGCGCTTTT